TGCAGTATTCTGGGATGTCCCAGCACTAAAAATAGTTATGACTGTAGAAGAGCTGTTTTGTTGACATGTGCCACCATATAATTTGACACATGATGAGCTCACCATACTCACTAACAACACTTGTGTTATAGTTGCATCCTGGAAGGTATTTTAGGACTAAATCCAAAGTCTGCCACCAAACACAGACATGGACACACACTCTCATACTGTGCATATGTAAACATTGCCTTTTGAATAGTTCTCAAACAAATGGATTTTGTAGGTAGCTCATATACAGTACAGGCACGCAGAACTCTGGATATTTAAGCTGTACCTTTACAGGGAATGTTTACAAACGTAAAGCTGAGTGCATGAAAAAGGAGATGAAGCAGTTGGCAGCCAGAAGTGACAGCCTTCAAATACTATCAGTCCTGGTTTAACTTCCATTAAAAATGGCAGGATAAAATGGCTCTCAGATCTGCGGTACTATGAGGAGGAACCACTTCCAGTGCAAGTATCTCCTAATAGACAGCATAAGTCTAAAGAGGAACTCAGATTATCAAACTTGTCTAGCTCTACTCTACTTAATTAAAACACTGCTAGTAATTAGGGAACCCCACTGGCTTTCCTCCTGTCTACCTCCTGATGCTTCCACTCCTTGAAATTCAAATTGGTTTTGCAACCCAAATCACATTTTACCATTCTGTTCTGGAAAATAAATAAAGAAGGCCATTTTGAAACCTTAAACTGTGTTTTCTACATTTGTATGCATCACATTGTTCATCTTTGGTAGAAGGTTTAGCATGAGCAGTATGTCACCTCATTAAATCCAGCTACCCTGCAAGCTGAAAATGCACTCTGTGCCACGTTAGCAATGCTACTGCAGTTCTACCACTGTGCTGCTGAATTCAGGAGAGACTCCAGCCTGTGTTTCTGCCCATTAGGAAGACTGTCAGCTGCTTATTTGCCTCCAACTTTCCTGTTGTCATAACTGTTGATGTTTGAAAGAGAGAAAGATAAAGACAAGGTACAGAAAGGACATTTTGTGGATATAAGAAACTTATCTCCTAATATTCTTAAGTGATCTCCAATTCTGAACAACATACAAGACTGGGAACAACCTGGAAAAGGAAAGGAGCTGTTAGAACACCACTAACTATGTGGTTCTCCACAGAAAAAAAGACAACTACCTCTAAGGGATATATATGTTACTCCCCCAACACTATAGGGTCACTATAGCTTTATTAATTTGTCCCAGAAAACAATGCACTACCTGTTGGGAGATCTTCCACTTGCTTCACTGCAATATTATTAGATCACACCTTCCTGAATCTGTCTCGGTGCTGTTATCTGTAAAGGATTGGCTCTGACCACTATACTACTTCAGAGTTTGTGGGAATCACAAAAACCCAGTCAGTGACTCTTCAATGAGCTGAGCACTGATAGCTGCCCAGAAGACTCCCTTAAAGAGAAACTCCTTCCAGACTGAGTCTTTTTGGTTGGCACTCTTCTGACCTGCAAAATACCAGCAAAAAGACTAGAGAGTTAATGCTGTTTTCCTTTGGCATCTCAACTAAAAATCATACTATCTCTTAAGATCAGACTCTGCTTTGGAGGTGTGTGTGGGGGAAACAGTTTTCCCCCTGAAGTTATAAAATGGTAAAACCCCAGAGGGTGGTGACCCTTGAGGTTTTACCCAATGAGCGCTTCTGCAAAATATAAACATATCACAAGCAGAACGGAAGAGAAGGTAGTTGTAGTTGTTGAAGGAGTAGCCATGTTGTAAGGCCACGAGGAGAAAGGGCAGGAGCCCCTGGGGAGCTCTGGCCCCCCAGCCCCGGCTGGGGGGGCTGCAGGTACTTGGAACAGCGTAAGGCTGGGCTAAGTACCTGTGGCTGAAAGCTAAAGAAGTTTTCTCCAGCAACAAACATGCAGCCAAGGAAGACACAGAGCTGTGTGAGCAAATTATCTGCTCTTTCCTTCATCCTGAGTATGGGAAAGTTACTTCCATAGGTAAAACCCACATCAATAAATTAGGAAAGAGGATAGGAAAAAGACTGGCTCATAAAGCTCACCTGACCTGATTCTTACCCTAGTATCAGCTTCTGCCAGCAAGAGAACAGATGAAGTTTACTGACCACTCAGATATAATCTACTTAGTACTACTCGACATGCCGATACATGCATTGTTAAAAAATCAATCCCATACATTATCAAAATGCATCCATTAAACAGATAAAGAAGCCGACAATCAGGAGATACCAACAGCTACTGAAAAATCATAACTTCCCCCATGGAGGGAAGTTGCCCCCATACCAAACTCCATTCGGTATTTTAGCTGATGATCGAGCAGAATTCAAAACCAGTACTGCTAAAGGTAGTGGGCTTGTAAATAATATAGCAGACAAGGCAGAGAGAGTAACCTGGGCTGGTCAGTGCACACAGCCAGGGCAAACAGGAGGTGCAATGATTTAACAAAATGCTAAGTCAGACACCTTCCCCCACACTATGCAGGTCACATAGAGTATGAACAAGGATTTAGAAGTTGGAATACTTAACACTCATTTCTGGTGTCACGCTACAACCAAGCAGAATTGCTCTTTTGACCTACAAACTGGAATTAAGAGAATTTACCCCTCATGTGGCAATGTTGTTTTTTCTATGGTTTACAGATTCCTTAGGGCACTTGAGACTGCAAATGAAGAAAGGGAAAGCTCTATGCAACTCCTAAGATACTTGTAAAAGTTATTTAAGAAAAGCAAGCTCTTAGGAATTGGTGCTTAAATTTTTTTTTGCACTTATCTGTACCTTAACAAAAAAATTTTAAAGGTTTGTAGATAAAAATTATATTAAAAACTCCTACTATAGGGTATTAGCATGGTCAAAAGTGAGAATCCCACGTGGTTGGGGTGTCTGGATTGTACAAAGCAATATGGAAACCGGAAACAGTACCGAGCCACAGAAACTACTCGAACAGAGAAAGTACCCTACACTGAGAATCTTAAAGGGCTCAGTTGACTTCTTTTCTTAAATATAATGAGCGAGGTAAGGCAACTACAACACGCAAATCCCCTCAAAGGGAGGGACTATCAGTTACAAGAGGCCTCATTAATCCAGCACAGAACCACCTAACAAACCAGTTGTTGGAACCTAAAGGCAAACTGAGAGCAACGCACCTCTCACTCCCACACACTCCCTTCTAGTTTGTGTTAATTAAAAAGTGCCAGAAGTAGGACACCTACCAATCTTCAGATCAAGTCTGGCTGTTTCTCACAGTTTCTCACTGTTATGTCCTAGTAAAATATTTATTATTAGCACATACAATTCTGAAGACTCTGAGATACAAAAGCCTAGAATATACAGGAAGTCAAACTAGACAGATGTCTTTAAACTAGGAATATGAAAATCTAGTCTTTAGCAGACCAGTAAGTTCAAAATACATTTGAGGGACCCAGATGAGAATGGGAGAGAAACATAGGGATTTAAGAGTTTCAGCTGCCCTCAGTATTAATGGCAAATGAGCTCTTAAAAAAACAAACAAATGAACAGTTAGGTTGTTTTTATGTTTCTCTCAAAGATTTCAACTTACCTTTTTTCTAAATCCCAGAGATTTAAGTTGTAACAAAAGCTAAAATTCTCTCTGATCACTTGTACTTACAAGCTGTTCTCACTAGATTTTTTTTTAATTCACTTCTTCCACAATGATAGAAAATGTAGATACAGCATTTTGTGCACAGATTAAACTCAAGGCTACAGAAACCACACAGTGGAAAAGACTGGAAAAAACAGAAAGTTTAGATGAGACAGTTAAGCTGCTGAGAGAAAGTAATACAAGACATAGTTCACAGGAGAGTTCGGAGCTATTTTCCACCTGGATTTTGTCAATAAATGGGACAAGAAGGGGCTGGGGATTGGAAAAGGGATTGTTTGATACTCCCTAGGCACTAGTTTGAAGGAGGCAGACATAGAAAGGTGTTCCTGACTGTTAGACTGGATGGTTTAAATTCTGAGTAAAAACTACTACTCAAATTTCTGGAAAAGCTACTGACTGAATGCTGCAGTACTAAAATCATTCCATAACTGTGAAAAGAAACCCAAAGGAACACTATGCACCAGAAAGAGCCTTTTCTTGGTCAATAAGTCACACCATTATCTGGGCACTGGATATAACCCTCTCCCTGCTGCAACACAGATGGCAATCATGTCCGAACAGTATCAAAGTCCCAAAGCTGAAAGGTTAAAAAATCAAACAAGCAAAAAACCCCACAGGCTTTGCTTTCTCTTAGGTCAATGAGAAATGAGTGAAACTAACTTCCTTCTGCAAATCCTCATCCTCCTAGCCTGTTCCATATACTCCTTCTCATCACAAAAACTTAGCTCAGGCAAGGGCTAACAAGATGTTTGTTCCAGATGGGCCATTTCCTTACTGTCTGCATCTTTATTCTGAAGGATGCAATAAAACACCATCGACTGCTAATCATCCTTCATAATACACACATGTGCTCCACGTGGACACCACAGCCAAATATTCAGAGAAGGTCACAGACAAACAAGCTGGTTCATGCTGTACCTGCAACGATCTGTCTGAACAGCAGCCCTGCTGCTATCAGGCATAACTGGTTCACAGGCCAAGGCAAGTCACTGCATGCATCAGCTCAGGCCATCCAACACCAATACACATTCAACAAACCTCAAGTCTGTTCTTAAAGTCCCCTGAGAACATGGAGCAAAATTCCTCCCATTTCCTCTTCCCACTACCCTAGAGCAGTTTATAGGCCAAAGCAGTATTTCATGAGGTTTAAGTGCTCTGAGACTCCATGATGATTTAGGAACGCCATGTATAATAGCACACCGCTTCTATCTCCGGCAGACAGCAGGACAAGCCCTGAGCAAACACCACAATTTCAAATACATCAGCAATGTCCTGCTAGAATAATAAAGAACAGAGATAAGTAAAGCAACAAGACACCAGTTTTTCTTTGTTTGAATACATATATTGCATATGTGACTGGTTTTTTTTGGCATCATACAGACCAGACCATGCATTCTGCTTTTCTTTTACAAAAAAACCCAAAACATATTGATTTCTTGGAGACAAGAGAAACAGGTCTTACCCCATAGAGCTCATATCAGCTGGGGCATTTAAAACTATTCAAATCACAGTGAGGAGAATGAGATCCTGCAGGTAAATTCAGCAATGTGCTTTCCAGAGCAATGGTCTCTCCCTCTGGTTTTACTTGCTAAGGTTTACCCTGACTTAAAGCTGTCAGTCTATCTCCTGAACATCATACAACACAAACAAGCAATAGCCAGGATGACCCCAGCCTGCTCTCAGTTTCTCCCTTTCAATCATCATGAGATGTTCTAACTGCAGAGAGCAAGTTACTTTATCTGAAGTATTCCCCATGAAAAAAACAACCCCCAAACCAGACCTTTAACCTGAGAGATGCAGACTTCAATCCAGTTGATGAATGGAGGGACTTCATTACTCATCTAAAGGCTCTTCTGCAGCTTCAACATGCTTAAATCTCTTGCCTCCACTTATCCTTGTGAATCAGTTGTCTGCCTGTCTCTCTCTCTCCAGTATGCTACTATTTTGCGGAAAGCTTTCTCTTACAACCCTGACTCAAGAATGAGCAGACATTTTGACAAACAAAACCTTTTTCTAGTGGCAGGCTATCTTCTATCTTTCCACAACTGGCAAAATACCTCACCAATACTGCATATTACTGTTAAATCAGCAGCTACGCCAATGATTTTACCTGCAAAACCACATATTAGATTTTACACATTTTTCTTAAGGCATTTATTTAGTAACAACCAACAAAAATTCAATGGAAAAAATAATATACCCTCTGCATTGCTTCTCTTTATTCATGCTTCAGATAGGGATCATTAGTTTCAAGAAAAAATTCTGTGGAAACAAGGCAAAGCCTCTAGTAAATATTTTTGATTTAAAATCACCCCAACTCCCACACCCTTTAACCAACAGTTACATCTTAAAATGTGGAATAGATGAGTGTGTTTGAAAGTTCGTGGTGCAAAATAGAGGAGGATGGCAAAACCTCCTCAGATTTGTCCAAAAACAGCTATCCCACTCTTTACATAAATACAGTCTTCTCCCTTCCCCTTTTCCTCTCTGTTTCCATCAACCCTGCAACAAAATCAATATATAAGAACATCAGCAGCAGCTTTGATGATAGGCAATGATCCTTTTTGACATCAGTCTGTGACACGATCGTTGATTCTCTATCTTTAAATTACATCATAGTTGTGTAAAATATGCAGTGATATCCCAAACGTGAACTCTTCACATCCGCTGTCGATACCTCAGCAAGATCCAGACTGCTGTTGCGGCAAGCGCCAGGCCTGGCACAAGAATGGCTGCTAGAGGAAGCCCACCTGATTCTCCATGGCTTTGATGACCCACAGGGCCATTTTGTGGCTGCAACTACAAGGAAAAAAAGAAGTTATTTGTGTCAGAACCCATCACAGGAGAGCCTCCAGTTTGGTGTCTGGACCGTGTGGTTCTGTAAGGATGTTCGAGACAGTTTGCCCACTATCTGTGAACTCCACGCACGGGAAGGTTAAAACAGCTTTGGATGGACTGAGCTTAACTGCAGAGTATCCAGTCAGTACCAGGCATGTTCGTGTTTCTCTGCCACTTTGTAAACTAGGACTCTAACAAACTGAAGCAGGATACAGCAGAAACAATAACACACACATACCCAGTCATCCACTGATACACTTCCCACCACACCACTTCCTCCTCATTACCAGGAAAAGGACATCACTAGTTATCTCTGTTTTTCTTACCTACCCTCTACACTGGTCCAGAAGACTTACTCCTTTGCTAAGGGAGTAGAAAAGGGATCTCAACCCACCTCTCCACACCAACATGCTTCAGGTTGATCAGCATTTCTTTTGTCAATTTCAGTGCTAGCCAGAAATTAAGAATTCAATGCTAACAAAGGATTGACGATTCCTCTCTGTTTATATCTCAAATAGTGCCAGTACATTCAAACTACAGCAGTCCCCATTTCGTATTACCATAAAATCCTTTAGGTTGGAAAAGACCTCTAAGATCATCAAGTCTGGCCATTAACCCAGCACTGCCAAGTCCACCATTAAATTAAGCCCCACATCTACACATTTTTTAAATGCCTCCAGGGATGGTGATTCAACCACTTCCCTCAACAGCCTGTTCCAACATTGGACAATCCTTTCAAGTGAAGAAATTCTTCCTAACAGCCAACCTAAACTTCCCCTAGTGTAACTTGAGGACATCCCCTCTTGTCCTACTGCTTCTTACTCAGAAGAAGAGGCTGACACCCACCTCCCTACAACCTCCTTTCAGGTAGTTGTAGAGAGCGATAAGGTCTCCCCTGAGTCTCCTTTTCTCCAGGCTAAACAACCCCAGTTCCCTCAGCTGCTCCTCATAAAACTTGTACTCCAGACTCCTCACCAGCTCATTGTCCTTTTCTGGACACACTCCAGTGCCTCAGTGTCTTTCTTGTAGTGGTGGGCCACACACACATCTCAACACTAACATGAGTGATGACCTCTGAAAACAACAGAGGAATTCTGTGTCCAGTAAAATTTTGGTCATTGAAACAAAACTGGAGAACTTGAGATTCTCTCTTCACAGACAAACCTTTACCTCTGAGAAAGGAGATCTGTGAGCAAACACACCATACTCCAGCAAAACAAAGACAAAGTAATACACAGACAATTACAGCTGTGGCAACTAGAGAAGGCCATAGGTCAAACAAGATCTTTATATGCACATGTCACAGTGAGCACCTGGACATAGTACTCTTCTTCCTTATCAAATAGACAGCTACCAATCATAAAAACCAGTCTAAACTGAGCCAGAGATAACCCTAAGAAACAGGTAACACATACCCTGCGCTGAATTTTCAGAGACACATCACAGCCTGCATTCCTGAACAGTTCCACAGCATCCTTGTGCCGCAAATCCTTCAAGTCTTTGCCATTGACCTAGCAAAAAAGGAAAAGGAGAACCAGATGCTGAATACAAAAAAAGCAAATTTTTAATGACACAGGCTAACATTGGAAGGAGATAAAAATCTTCATCTTTCACAAAATTCTGTATTTGGGGCATGATACTATAATCAGCAATATCAATATTCATCCACTCATATTATAGATGTATTTTTATACGTTGAGGCAGAACATGAGAAACACCAAGCCAAAACACTGAGAGTACTGAAAAAAACTACCTAGAAGCAAAATCAGAATATAAGACCATAGTTGTGTCAATAGCAGCTTCTGATGCTGTTGCTTTACTGGAAACAAATCAAAGGTGTGATTCTGACAGCTAATGAAAACAAAAGAGCAGCTACAGCAAAATTATTATTATGAGTCTCTTTCCCACATTGTTCCCTCTATTGGTGCACCTTTGAAACCCCGCTGTTTGAGAAAGTGTTGTAAACATAAATTTAAAAGCACATTGATGTAACAAAACAAAACAAAAATACTTATATACTTATTGGCATCCCCTTGAAAGTGGTAGGATTTTTCTTAATTTAAAATAATATATCATGGCAGAAAGCTTTATAGCCTACTTGATTTCATTCACTAAGTGGTTATATTATCCTAATTTTTTATTTTCATCCCCATTACCCATAACTGTATCCCCTAAGATCACATCCAGTGCCTCCCTTTTCTTCATATTTAGATACCCCAAATACAAGTATATAAATATTAAACTGTCGAGAAAAGATAGGATAATATTCTCTATTTAACTTAGGATCATTTCATGTATCAATAATAGGTTCCAACTAGTGCAAGGCAGTCTATAGAGGCTAAAAATATTGCATGTGGAACATAATAATCAAGTGTAAAATAAAATTAAGGAGTATTAAAAGATTGTGTATCACACTAGAAGATGCTACTTCTTCACCCATCACTTTGTAAAGCATATTGTCTTGTATGATTGCCAGCTGACTGAAGAACCAGTGGGACTGAACATCAGTCATCTTAAAACATTTTTCTAAAAGGAGAAGCAGCCTGTATTATTCCTGAGGAGATGAAATGAAAACAAGAATTTTATGGCCTAGAAGTTTTATAGTTAAAAAATCCCCCTGAGCAAAAGGATCAGTAATCATGGATTACCAGTCAAAAATGGAAAAACTTTATTTACACGTGTGTAAATGATGATCCATTGTGAACAAGAGAAGTTCTGATGGATTCTATAACCTTAGGAAGGCAAGTCAGAGAGGAAACACAAATGCAGCACCATGGAGTGCTTCTGAGACAAATCAAGAAGGCAAAAGAGATGAGCACATCTGTAGAGGCAGCACTCAAAGCTCTCCCCAGAACCCCAAGATAGCTCCTCCATGAAGACTGCTCAGCATCACCTAATTGCATTCACCAAATCATTCCTCTCTGTGCAGTGATGGCAAACCTGCCTCTCATATCGCATCACTGATAACAGCACTTCAAGAACACACGGGGCGACAGAGGACAGGGCTTACCGCTAAAATTTTATCTCCTTCTTGTAATCGGCCATCAAGGTAAGCTGCCCCATCCTTTTTGATCCGGCTGACATAGATGCTGCTGTCATTGGAAATGTACTGCTGATCTGTCCCACCAACAATGTTGAAGCCCAGCCCTAAGGTAAGCCAAAGAGAAAACCGATGAGAAAAAGCTCAAAGCTTCAGATATTCTTGCTGTCTTGCTTATTGGGAATGCACCTTCCCACGATGCCCTACTTTCTTCACCACACTAAAACTCACAGCACATAAATCTACATCATCCTTTTAAACTATCACTGTCTAGAAATTAGTCTCACAAAACTGGTCTTGAAAGCAGAGGAGAGACACTAAATGCCTGAGGAACCAGATGGTTCATTTCACAAAACATGGTGAGCTGTATTCAGGGTGTTGGGGAATACTGAGGGACATGCCATCATTTCCGAGATGCCGGTTCAGCCCTCAGCAGGAATACACTTCTTCAGCACAGCACGAAGGAAAAAGAAATCATTTTGCCTTTCGCATGAGGCCATAGTAAATCATTACCTTTGAGCAACAAGAAATCATGCCTGACAAGCATTTTGTGAGCTGGGAAACAGAGTAAGGAACGGCAAGAAACATCAGACCCTGTCTACAGATGATGAGGAAACAGGCAAGTAGAACTGTACTAGGGCTCAGAAGGCTCCCCTTCCACATCCCAGGAGCTGGAACTGGTGTGCTTTGCCTCCAAGAATAAGACTAGCCTATATGAAGCTACTTCAAATTTTGTTCTGTTACATGAATTCAAAACATGACAGGAAATAAAGACAAAGTTTGCAGATTTAAAGCAAAACAAAAAAGAATGTGCATACATTAAACAGAACTGATGTCCACTTCACATTTTTGCCATTTTATATCGTTCTTTAAAGTAAGCCTCAGTTACAGATATCTAGCTGGATCCAGCTTCTGGATTAAAGTTAAAATTTCTTGCTTCATCAAAACACAGAAGAACAAACTGAATTCAGAGTCTGGGAATCTGGAAAACCACAGGTTACAAGAACACATTCCCCATTGCACATGCAGCTAAGATTATCTATAAATAATAATACATGACAAGGGACAGGAAAAATTCCCTAAGAAGAGGCTTGTAAAGAAATAAGGGAAAGAAAAGCTAAGGAAAAAGAAAAAAAAAAAATCAAATACACAATCAAAGCAAATGAAAAAAAAAAAAATTAATTTTTTTCTGACATAGACCAGTCATCCAAAAGTTATAGTCAAGAACAGCTGAAGGTAAATTCTGCCCATGTTCAGCCAGGCTGATTTATTTGTTTTCACTTTCTTTCTTCACTCAAAGTTGTGGCTAGAAACCTTGAGAAGAGGAGTTGCAAATGAAAGTAAAACCACCTTGTGCCTGCTGGGAAGCAGCATTTTAAATCAGTCATAGGAGATCAAAGGATTTACAAAATGAGTCATGTTATTTCAAGTGTGCATCTACAGCTCGGAAGTAAAGAAATATTAACTGCAATCTTGCCACACTTTTTTTTTCTTTTTTTTTTTTTTTTAAATTCCCTTCCTGGCAGCTTCAGACAAGCAAAGAAGAAAATGAAAGCAAGAGTAAATTGAATAAACACTGACTTTTCAACTAGACTAATATCTGTTCCAAGCAGGGGCAGTCGTGAACAATAACACACTCTTCAATGGAAATAAAAAAGAAAAAAACTAAAAATCCATAAACCTAAAAATTATTTGCCACAAAGCCAATACCCTGGAAACAGGGGAAATCAAAACTACAGAAAGTATAAGGTTTAATCAGCACTTATTAAAAAGCCAGAAAGAAGGAGCTAGAGTTTCAGAACATATTGATTCTCTTTCACATATATAAAAGCCCTCAAATATATATATATATAAAAAAGTATATATTTTGCAACTTTTCATCCACAATTGGAGAAATAATCAAAAGTCACAGCCTTCAGCAGCAGAGGCAAATCTTTGTGCCAAAGAAGCAGCAATTCATGCTAGACGAAGTTCAGTATTCACTGAACTTTTTCACTGTGTCTTTCCTTTCCAGCACTTAAACTTCCACTCTGGCTAAAAATATCTTCCCTATAATCCCTTGAGCTCTTACTATTCTCTCCCTTACAGTTCATGTAGCCATAGAAAGAGACACAGCACAGCCAGAAGAAAAGGAACAAGGGGAGGAAGGGAGCACATGGCACTAAGTCTCTTGTCTAAAAGGAACCAGAAGCAGAATGGTAAAGCTTTAAAAGTGGGCTCTGGACTAAACTTCTCACCCTCCCTGAGGCTGCAGACCTCTCTATGCCTCATTTACCCTCCCTGAAACTAAAAAAGTCCCTCAAAAAGACATGAAAAAAATTATAATTGCCAGGATTAGAAAAAAAAAAGAACTGAATACAAGGAAAGTTGAAAAAGAGACATATACACACCATTTTGCCACTGGAAATACATTCAACACCTCAGCAAACTTTTGCCAGAGATGTTTAGCATCAGACCTATTTTAACAAGTTGCAGTCAAAACTCTGATTTGAGAGACTATGGTATTACATTGTGCTTCACAGATAATAATAGTGTTTTGTTCCTTCCACAGAAATAAATTCGTATGGTAAGTACATTAAGGCCAAAAGGGGCTGTAGAACCTTCAAATCAAGTAACATAGTTAGAAGCCTAACTAAAAATGCACAGCCCATCTTAATGACCAGACTCAAATCACAGTGGCCACATCCAAGACCATTCTCAACTCTGCACTTCAACATTCCCTTCCACCTCTCTCAAAATTTTAGGTTCCCAAACGCATGGAAACAGCTTTCCCATCAGAACCGGCTTTGTTTAGCAAACAGTTTTCACTGACAAGCACAGCTTCATTAGCTTGAGCTCATGGCTCTACAGGCAGGGCTATGCGGCTTTCAGACCAGTGGCCATTCTGGTGAGCAGGGGAGGCAGAGGACTGCACCCCAGGCCCACCCTCTGGGTTCTGATTGCCAGCACAGGGGCCAGGACCTACCAAGAAATACGTTCACCCCAGAAATCAGAAAACGGCACATAGGCCAACGCTGTGGGTGCTGCAGTCCCTGGGGGGCCCATGGAGCCGAGGCCGGCCAGCAGCCGCCCCTAACAGTTGTGCAGACAGACAGAAGGGCTGCCACGTTTTCTTTTATGCTCGTTTTAATTAAAGACAAGGCCTCATGCACAGAAGTACAGCTGTAGCTCTGAAACCTCCCTGGAGTCAGGATTTTGCTCCAGAGGTTCTTTAGAGCCAGGATTTTGCTCAGGAGTTGTACGTTTGGTGCTAACTTGCCGCACTTCTGAAAGTGTGATTTGAATGGCATCATAAATCCTGAAAAGCAAAGCCAAAACAACGCCCCAAGGACTGCCCTGTTCCCTCTCCCCTCCAGCCTGTGCTACTCTCTCTCTCCACCCCGAAGCCCCTCGTGCTACCCCGTACAATGACCGCCGAGCTGACACTACAGGGCACGGTCACGGGGACACACGATTTTGAAATGGCACCTAACTCAGGGTATCCAACGCGGCTGGGCCCTCAACGCCTGCCACCTCACTTGGAAGCGACAGGAGCTCCACCGGAGATGGCAGCTTCCTAGGAAAACCAGAGGCGAGTTGTTCACGGGGACACCGGCCGGGGCTCCCGCAGAGGACCGAGCCTGACCCAGCCAGCTCTCCCTCACCGCAGGGCTGCCCGCTCTCCCTCCCGCCCTCGCCGGCACCCCGTCGCCGGGCCCTCCGCCGCCGCGCCGGTGCCCACCACGGCAGCACCGCCAGCCCCCGCCACCATCGCGCGCTCCCGCTCCGGCCTCCTCGGGGGCTCCGCAGGCCTCGGCGCGGCTGCCCCGGCCCGGGAGGCGCCCGGGGCCAGCGCGGGGCGGTCGCCCCCGTCTTTACCTGAAGGTCTGCGGGTGAGGCTGATGATCTCCTCGGCGTAGCCGCCGCCCGCCACGCTGCCGTTCATGCTGCGGCCTGATGAACTCAACACCCGGGACAGCCGCTCCCGTCCCCTCGGCCGCCGCCGCCGGGCCGCGCCGCGGAGCGCTGGGAGTTGTAGTCCGCGCCGCGGGAAGCGGTGCCAGGGCGTCCTGCGAGCGGCACGGCCCCCGCGCCGGCGGCCCGGGAGCTACAGCCGCCCGCGGGACGGGGCTGCTCCCACTGGGCCCTCGGGCCGCCCGCGACGGGCGCTCACTGCAGAGGCTGGAGAGGAGCGGGCCCGCGGGAACCCAGCACAGCGTCCTCCTGCCCCCCGCACCTTCCCCGGATCCTACGCGGCATCTGTGCCTGGCCGTGCTTTGCTCCCCAGGCTGGAGCTGGCTTTCTCAGGAAGGTTAAGAAGTAGGTGATTGTTGTCTAGGGGGAACGTAGCAGAGAAAGAGAGAGATATCTGACCTGTTCCCAGCCCTTTTAACTGGCCTCACAGCAAACTGAAAAGCAGATCAGACAGTGATGGGCAGGAGCAAAAGCCAAATGCAGGCAAATCGCAGAGAGAGTGTCTATGCCATTGCCTAGATATCCTGTGATGCAATAAAGTGATGCTCTGGATTCAGAAGCACAAATGGTACACACTGACTGCCACTGTTGGGACAATAAATACCTACCTATGCCCTGAACAAGGCATTTGGTTTGAGGATTTGAGAAATTTCCTCAAAACTCTACAGATAATTACCTAGCAATAAAGTGCAAAGTAGTTCAACTTGTTGTCTAACAGAGAAGCCACTTGAACCTGGCACTCTGTATGACGGGGATTTCTTGAACCAACAGATTCTTTGGAAATAAACAGCAAGGCAAAATTTATCATTACTTATTTCCTTATTAAACTGTATCCTTATCTATTTCAGCACATGCTACAAGTATGTCAATACAGACAATGACAACAGGGAACAATGAATAGGCCTGATCCAATTAAATTGCCTGATTGCTTGGCACTACAAGATCAGTCACATCTACATGTTGCAGGAACTTCTCTGATTAAAATGAGGACCAGCTGCTCTGGTCTTCAGTGTTAACACTATCAATCAGTTTGTTTGGTATTACAGTACAGATTTATTTTTGACTGCATTCATTCCCAGATGATCTGCATTTTTGGATTCCTGAATTTAATAGGGAGAGGCAATCTGGGTGATGGATCTCTGAATTAGAGGAAGAGCGTGCTATGTGCCTTGATGCTATAACATTATTGCTTAGTGCTAAACTGAGTGTTAGAACACCTGCCTCAGAGGTGGGAGACAGGCATTCAAGGTCCAATTACACCTGCAATGATGAGCAAAACCATGATTTGTCTGTCATGGGAAGACTTCTTAAAACAGTTGAGCACAGCATTCAGTTTCACATCTGTTTCAGTCCAGTTCACAGAGTTATGTTGTCCTGGATGTCTATACTTTTTGTGGCCATTAAATAGGAACACTGCACAATAAAACTTGCACAACAGTCATCCATTATTTTTTTCCCCTGTCCTGGTTTCAGCTGGGACAGAGTTCATTTTCTCCTTGGTAGCTGGTACTGTGCTCTGTTTTTTGGATTTAGTATGAGAATAATGTTGATAACACACTGATGTTTTTGTTGTTGCTAAGTAGTGTTAACCTTAAGTGGAGGAGTTGAGGACTTTTCAGTGTCTCATGCTCTGCCAGTGAGGCACAAAAGCCTGGGAGGGAGCATAGCCAGAACAGGTAACCTAAATTGGACAAAGGGATATTCCATACCACAGAACAGTCTAGTTCTAGACATATACATGTTCAGTATATAAACTGGGGGAATTACCTGGAAGGGGGCAAATCACATTCTGGGATGGAATAGGTATCGGCCGGTGGGTGATAAGCAATTTTACTGTGCAGGACTTGTTTCCTTTGGGTTCCGTTACTCTTGCCTTTTTTTTTCTCTTTTTCTTTTTTTGTTTTGTTTTGTTTCAATTATTAAGCTGGTTTTATCTCTACCCACGAGGTTAACCTTTTCTTTTCCAAATATCCTTTCCACTGGGTGGAAAGGGGTGGGAGAAGAGTGAGTGAGCAACTGCGAGGTACTTAGCAAACTCCTTGAAGATACAGACTGTTCCTTAGCAGCAGTTTAATGTATTTTAAAGATGACAATCTTGGTTTAGAACAAACCCAATTTTATCTTGATCTGAGATAACTGTGATATTAAGTGTTCTTATAAGTCTTCTTTAGCCAGGAAGAGATTTCAAACAAGAAACATGTATATATGTTGTATATTATTGTTGTAACTTACTCTTAGGCAGGTTCAGGCTTCACCTATCGCTAAGTAGCCTGCAACGTGTTAACAGCTACCTAAGACAATACCTTACTGCACTGGCACAGGCCACTTCACAGAATCACAGAATGGTTTGGGTTGGAAGGGACCTTAAGGAGCATCTAGTTCCAACCCCCCTGCCAGGGACAGGGACACCTTCCACTAGACCAGATTGTGTCTTCTTATTTCCTCCAGCACCATTTCAAGTACTCCACTGACCCACATCTCTTGGGAGACGGTGCAGCAGCATTTTCAGGCTGCCTCTTCCATGTTCAAGTGACTTATACATTAACCAAGTTCTAGCATTCATTTAAAGCATTTTAAAAGGTAATTAAAACTACGAGGGGAAAAAAGGGGAAACCAGAAAGATTAGGATTAAACTTAAACTTGAACCTTCCTAGCACCTTCAGAGCAGCGTCTTCAGAGTAGTGGGACATTTCTAACAAACTACCAAAGGAACCAAGTTATTCATAGCTATGGTAAAATCAGAAACAACAATATTTTCAAAGAGCAAACCTTAGCAAGGCAGCTCACACTGTTTATAAAACACAGACTAGGTTTGTTGGGATACGTGTTTGTCTTGCTTATATGGCCTAAGCAAAAACAGGAGAAAAGTGTACAGAAATACTCCTATCCAAAGCTCACTGAAAGCCTCCTCCCAACTAAGTAATTGTTTTTTTAGATCAATCTTTAAGCACAGAGAAAAATGGAAAATACAGCATTTTATTGCTTTGTCTTTTCCAAAACTACATTTGCAAATAAATGTTCTAGCCTAAATTGTGCTTTCATTTACACCTCTGTCTCTTCAGCATGCAGGTCTGTAAATAAAAACTCCCTGACCCTCTAACTTTTCTCTGGTCTCAGCACAGATCTATACTTGGCAATTTATGGTACAGTATCAATCAGCAATAGGCAGCCATAAAGATGGCAGTCTGAAACTTCTGCCACTCTTCATCTATTTAAAAAGCAAAATTTTAAAAAGTCTGCCAGTACTTACCAGTTGTGCATAGCTAGTTGGAAGGTGATGTGTTACTTTTTGTCTCTGTCTTTTGACTATCCCCCTTGTTTATCAAGTATCCCTTGTTAGCAACACCTACATTATGATTATTATTTCTCAGAGAACACTCCCCCTGTGCTCCCCAGAAAAAGGTCTCTGACTATAAGGAATAAATTTGGGGTGTTAGTCAAGGGGCAGTTATCTTGTCATTTGACATAAACACAGGATTAAGTTTTCTTCATCTAATCAAAATTATCCATGTTTTATCAAGACAATAAGCACAGCCTGCTGAGCAAACAATGTGTTACCTCATTTCCTCAGATAAATATAGATAATTACGTAAGGATCCATTTGCTCTAGACAAAAAGCCATGAAACACTGTGAATCACATCCTTTGTATTTCACATCCAATCATAATCTAAGCAGCCCTTTTTGGATATAGGACATAATTATGGAGAAAAAAAAAGTATTACAGGAAAATGTGTATTCTAAAAACATAAATGTCACATTTGGGAGGCAGCTAGAGTTGACCATCATCATTTGTAGAGTCACCAACATATTTCTTCCCAAATGTTGCAAGTATTGGGGTACTTATCCTGCCTTTATAGAATGTTTGCTAAAAATGTCCTCTTTGCTTCCTAAATACAAATAATTCTTTTGTTAGCAGAGAAGTGCATTATAGCCTTAATCCAGAAACACTAGACCTTTAGAAAAAAGGTCCGTAATCTGGACTACAGAATCCTCTTCATGCTGATCCGATAGAAAGATCTAGTAACTGCTATAATATAAATAATATAATTAACTTATTGAATGGGATTTCCATGTCCCTCATATTTTTCCAGAAGTTAGACACATTTTATCTTATGTTAAAAAAAAAAAGAAAAATACAGTGCTTCTGTGTGGCACTTTGTAGAGCTGCAAGGACACATTCTGTTATAGCATAAGAAACAATCACATCGTAGACCAAGAGAAACGTCATGAGAAAGTCAGATAAAACATCTATCAAATATTGTAGGAATTCTGGGTGGGGAAAACTCTTGCAGAATAGTTCCGAATACTTTAGAAATTCAGTTAACTTGTGCAACCCCACAGACAGCTCCTCTTAGTGACAATAAAATACACAACACTCCTCAGAAGAAGCCATCACTCAAGGCACTGGAAAATTTCCAGAAAATAAAGACAATTTGTTCTTGTGAAATGTCAGATTTGGTGCCACTACACTGTTGATGTATATCTGATGGTCAAAAATGTAATGCTTCCTGGTGTGATCTGGATAATCCTTCTCTACTGTCTCACAAAATGAAGACCCTGTTTCTTATGGTCTACCTCCCTCCTGAAAGGCTGCTCCCTGTAAACAGTTGGAAAACACCTGCATCTCACTGCAGTACCTGTTTCTTGCCTGTTTGTGTGTCACAGATGCGAATTAAATCATAGAATCATAGAATGGTTCGTGTTGGAAGGAACCCAGTGGAGACTGCAAGAGCAATATTTTCTCTTTAGTTGTTAACGAATGACAGAAGCAAGATGTTCACAAATATCTCTCTCCCTGAATCAAAGAAAGCATTAGATGGAGTAAATTGAAGCAAATAATTTATCTACAGATGATTTATCTTATCTATTTAAGAAGTTTTCATTTTTAAACTGTTGATATGAAGCATAAACACTCTACCTACAGTTTACCTAACTATGTCAATTTAAGAGCTCAGCGTACAAAGAACAGCAGGCCTTAATGCCTACATTTATTAATTTAAATTATACAAAGATAACTTTTACTCTGCATTTAATGATGTCATATGAGATTAGAGCTATTCGGAATGTGTTGAATTATTTTGATGATATTATCAGATGGCTTTGCTAAAGAGAGATTTCCCCAGGAGCATTGGTCTTCTTGCTTGTTGGTCTTCAGTAGATTTTGACTCACCATCAGGTGAGTCTTCTTTAGGTACTTCTGGTTTTTTCAGTCTTTGAAATAACTGCAGTATTCTGTGGAATTGGGCCTTTATCCTCCTAAGCCATCCTACTATTTCCTGTCTATAACGCATGGTAAGGTTTACTCCAAGGAAACACAGACAAAAAAAAGTAAGTAGTATTAGTCTTACTTTTGCTCTCTGAGAAATCTTCCTGGCTGGAGGGGGTCCACTGTCAATGCTACCTCCAAATCCTTCCGATTCACAATATGGAGGAGCCCGGCCATACTCGCAGTGACAGTTCTTATGATTGTTACACACTCCTCTGTCATGACACTTTGTCACGTTACAGTCGTAGTTCAGCACTGATACATTCATACACGTCCTGTTGATACAAAGCATATCGGTACCACATGGTGTGCCATCTTCCACAGCTCCCATGTCAGCTCCTGGCATCCCTACGTGATAGTCAAGACCCCAACAATTTTTATCTCCAACAGGAGTTTGGACTAGCGTTACATGGTTCTGCAAGGGAGGTAGTTTGACTATGTTTTCACACTGAATCCTACCACATAAGATATTCTCAATACTGCATTTTGTAAAATGGATATTGTTATGAATACCACAATTCCCAAACCGGTCACCTTGAGTATTCACTGCTTTGAAGCAATCTAAAGAAGCAGCCCTAGCTTGTTTGCCAAAGAGATCCTGGCACTGTTTACTGTGGGAAGAACATTTTCCTTGATAGCAATAAGCACCATCTTTGCAAGGGGTTCCATCTTGTAGGTAGACATCCAGTGGGCACTGAGGGGAAATCCCATTGCAATACTCTGGTAGGTCACAGCTGCCAGTACTTTCTCTGCAGAGTGTTCCTGCTGGAAGGACTTTACAGTTCTTGCAGCATTTTCCAGACGCACAGACTGAACCTACAGTAAGTGTACAGTTCGGGTGGCAACAAGGATCCTTTCTGCAGACTGATTCTGAACCACAGTCACATTGCTCTCCGCTTTCTAATATCTTATTCCCACAGTATTCACGCTTCGAGGTGTAGAAAGCGCCTGGTGGTGGTGGTTGACGAAGGCAGTCAGCGCCTTTTACAAGCAGGTCAAAGTAGTATTTGTAACTGCAGTCACTGAATGCATCAGTGTCAACGTTGCTTTCATACATAATGCATTTCTCTCGTTTGCATTTACAGTCTGGTTTATCATGGCTCATCCCAAGATTATGGCCCAGCTCATGGACAAATGTGACAAAAAATGCGGACAACTTTTTTTCAGTGAAGGAAGCAACAGCTGATGACCAGTGGTTATCACACACTGTCCCTATATATGCCAATCCCAGGGTGCTTCCAAAGCTCTGGAATGCAAATAAGTGAGCAACATCATGGCGCATCCGTTGGGACAGGTTTGACTTTCGCCAACTGTTAAAGTCACTGAGTACCTTGCTGAGAGATCTAGTAATATTTATTAAGTTGCTTTCAGTCCATATCTCCAATCCCATAAGAAACAGCCGGACAGAAAGCTGTTTGTACAGAATGTCCCCAATGTTGATGACTTCCATGACTTGCCTCAAGACTTCGGATTTATTCCTGCCCGACTTCACAAACCGCACATTGTCCACGACCACTGCTATCTTGACATATCTGATGTGTGTCCACCAGTCCTTCAGTTCCTCGTTCTCCTCCTCTGCCTTTGGAGCCTTGAACCAGGGCAGCACAGCCTTTTGGTGCTGCAGCATCTCAGGGGTCAGTCCGCAGGTGGGGCCCATGTGGTTGTTGGCCTCCTCCATGCGGTAGAGGATGTGCCGAAAGGCTGGATCGTTGGGGATGGGCTCGATCTGGAAGGTATCATCCTCCACCCAGAGCACACCGTGGAGGCCCCTGTCACAGGCACTGAGGGCCACCAGGGAGCCAGGGCTGCCCAGCACCTCGCCCTGGTAGAAGCAGTTGTCCCGCACGAAGGGGTGCTCCTCCCGGCGGGCCCCGTCCTTGCCATAGGTGACCAATGTGAAGGGCCGGGAGACCAGGCCCCGCCGGGGCTGCAGGCGCAGCACCCGCGGCCGCCCCGCTACCTTCAGCCAGTAGGTCACGGCCGGGGGGTCGCTGCCGGCCCGCGGGCTCAGCTGCCGCGGCACAGTCACCCACGCGGCGAGGGGATCGGCGGGGCGGGCCCCTCGCGCACCGGGGCACCCCGCCAGCCCCAGCAGCAGCAGCACCAGGAGCCCCGGCAGCGCCCCCATCGCTGCCGCCCGGCACCGGCCGCCCCCCCGCCCCGACCGGGGATGGAACCCGAGAGGGCCCAGCCCGGGAGGAACCGCCCCGAGGCTCCAACTGCCGCCCTGCCGGCCCGGCCCCCGCGGGAAATGGCACCTGCGGCAGGGGGCACATCGCTGCCTTTCAGCACGGACAGAGGCTCTTGTGGGGAGGAAGGAGTAAATTAGCCTTCCACAAGCATGTTCTCATATTTTTATAAGCTTCATTTCAAATTAATGGGTGCTTCTCCTTCTGAGCAGACATAGAGAGAGAGGCCCCCAGCTCAGATTCTTGTGACTCCTTGTCACAGATGTTTGTGTTGAGCAAGATCATTCTTGCATAGGCCACAAGTGGGAAAATCTGTTTTAAAATCTCAAAGGATGGCTTTTGCTTTTTTCACTCTTTCTATTAGAGGATAATTTGTGAGTGGACATCAGAAACAGGCTATTTTCAGCTCTAAAGAATATCTGGAAAAGTTTAGCGTCTGAAATGAAAAAGTATAGAAATACTCCTTGTGGTACCCTTTCTTAGTGTCTGCCTTATTATAGCTACTTACAGCTATACACACCCCTCCAAAAAAAAGATAGAATAAGGGTAATTCACTTCCACTACATTCAATAATATAGAGGCAAATTAACAGCACCAAATATAAAACCTCAAGCCTATTTACACCATAGATGCTACATACCTACAACGATATGCTTTAATTACAGACATAACCGATGCAGCAGCCATTTTCCCACATCATGGCCTTTCTAAAGGCTTGTGCTTGCACAGTACTGGAAAGAGAATACTTACAGGTACCTCTACCACTTGGCTGCCATTCTCATTTTGGGATACAGCTACATCAAGACATCATCATCACTGGTCTACTCTGGCCTCCAATCGGGAGGTCTGGAGACACTATATAACACTGCTGCTTCTTTTGAGAATGCACGCAGGATCACTCTCGAGGAGAAAAGACAACGCAGAAAGAACCGTGTCTTGTTGATACCACCTAAGGAGTCTTTCCACTGTGCCTTTTGAAACCGGACCAGTCTATCTTGCATTGGCCTTTTTAGTCACCAGCGTGTTTGTAGCAAATGTGGGTAGAGCCCTTCCCAAATCTTCGTTCGTGAAACCTAGCCATGATGACATCAAGACACAGCTAGAACACAGTGATCTGGATTGTGGTAGGACAGGATGCCCTGTGCAACACAGCTTTGCACACCGGTTTTCTGGCACATATTGCTGGGATTCAACATAGCCACAGCTGTTATCTTTTGGGAGTTCTTCGAAACTTTTATTTCAGTGCTGAAAGTACAGCTGGGGTGAAGTCCAACCTGCTATGGCCATTATCTTCCTCAGCTGCAGGAGGTGCACCCTCCCACCACCCCATACCATCTCAGGAATCCTGCTTTTCAAGACCAGTTTCTATGTGCTGACCATCACTCTGGGACAGGCAGCAACATTTAACATTTCAAACTATCTGAGACAGGCACTGCCCCTCAGGAGGCTGAGCAGTGAGAGAAGCAGGAAGCAAAATGTTCAGAGCCTCCTTCTGCTACCTCATGCTCCAGGGTCCTGAGTGGGATGGTTTTCTAAGCTGGGCACCTGGCAGGCCTAACCAACAGCTGTGGAGGTTACCAACAGTTGTCCAAAGGAACTTCAGATTCTGTGAACTGGCACCTTGCTCACTCCTTGCAAGTATGGCCAGCATTAGTAGCATACACTTTGTAATACAGTACCTCAGATTAAAGAAAACAGGATGCCTGCTTCTATTAGGATCCATCGATCCATCTAGAAGGATCTTTCTAGATATACATCCAAATCCATGATTTGTGTTAGCCTTAGATTTATTATTAATTTTAAAATTATAGGAACTGGGTTTTTTTGTGAAGTCTCTTATGTGCAGCTAGTTACTGAAAAATGATCCACTATTTTTCAATTATTAGTTTTGCATTCCTGGGCTGCGAACTGTGTCAGATTATCTCTTTTGAAATATATATAACTCAGACTACAATAACAGAAAAATCCTGTTATATAATCTGTATGCAATGTCTGTAGTGCTGTTTTTAAATACATACTTCTCCTGTGTGATCACTCCTTAAGTTATAGTAAAGGCCCTACTAAATCACTCTGCCAATTTGCTAAAGACATCCCTTGCCACCTGTACGACCCCCCGACCTTAAGTTGTCCACTACTTTCTTTCTCTTTTAATATATATTTAGGACTAGAAAATAGTCTAGTTCCACTGTTGAACTCATGGCAGATTATTCTTGTGGGGTAGTGTCAATGTAACTTTGTGCCACTGCATTCAGCACCTAAGAAAGCCCTTCGGCATTGAGGTTACATAATTTTCAGTGATCACACTGTTATGTTCAGGTTACCAGACCCTTGCATTTCTGTAGGGACCAGGTAAAGATCAAAGGGCAGGGAGGGAAAGATTCTCCTTGCATGACAATGAACAGGTTGGGAAGAAAAAATGACTGGCCTTACAGTAGAGCAGGGAAAAAATATCACAGCAGTCTTTGCTACTTCAACTGCAGAAACATTTCTTTGGCAGGTGTAATTGGCTTTCTCATGAGTGTTTTTCAAATTTTTTTCAATCTTGTAGCCCCCTAAAATTTCCAGTGAAGGTGCAAGCTCCTATGGAATTGAATCCTACCAGTGAGAAATTTACTGTTCTCACTTACCTTCTGTTGAGTCTTTAGGAACAGGTCACAAAACCCCAGGAGCCTTGTGGACCACAGGTTAAAATCCACTGTCCTGCTAGAAAGAAATTTAACCACCTGATTGCAGAGAAATCACTAATACGTCATAACTCATCCCACTGGGAAAATTTCTCCCCACCACCCATCCATCTATGATTCATTGAACCTTGAATGCCTAGTTATCATTTACTTTGCTATTGAAAAAAATAATGAAAACAACCCTGAAAAAGTGTATCACATCAGCTTTTGTTCAGAAACCATCTGCTGGTTCAGTGAAACCACAGTCTATTTGCATAATATATCTTCACCATTTTCTTCAAAGGGAACCTCTATGTCTCAAAATAAAGCTATTCTATCCCCTTTGCCTTGTCCCTCCTATTGCCTATACCCTTCTAGCCTTGCTCCAAGTACAGCTTGCTTTGGTAAACAACATGTACTGACTGTCCAGATGGCATCTAACATTTTTGCTGGGAAAAGGTTACTAAAATATGAAGTATAGGGGCAGAGTAGCAAAGAGAAATGGGCAAGAGCAACACATAGCCTGGTCAGACCTTACTTAGTGAAAAGTTGAAAATGACAATATTTCTACTGCACCTGAGACACCATTAGCTTTACACAGTAAATTGAAGTAGCTAGACTAACCCTCTTCCTACAGTCTGGCTGGATTTTTACATGTATGTGTATACATACACACACATATACGATACGTGCATAATCGTTCATGGGTATGCACACATTTATATGTACTCTCAGACTATGAGAAGAATTGTTTCTATTAGAGTTCTAGGTAATTTTTAGCTCCTGCTACCCTGTGACTTAGAAAAGCCCTTCTGAAGTCTGAATGGTTATTATCTAAGAGCAAAAAGTAGAGACAGTATGACCAAATCTCTCCTTTATGCAAAAGGAGCATGGGGAAATTTCAGAACTGCTGGCTTATCTCCCTTTCATCTATAAGCTTTACAAATACTGAAGGTCCTTTGGAAGGACTTTGGACTTCAGCAGTCAGGCTCTAAACCAAGAGAGAGCCTATAAATACCAAAGAGAAAAGGCTTAGATTCTTACACACTGGAAAACATTACTGACTACAAGATAGCTGCTTAACTTTTTAACAGTAAATTACTTGGAGTTTAACAGTAATATCTGACATAATGTCATTTCAGTAAGTTAATATCATAGCTCACTTAACTGATAAAATTATTTTAAAATATCTGGTCAGCAAGTAACAGGATCAGAAGGTATTCCAGTCCCCTGTATGGCAAACGTTCAGCACTGGACAACTGCTAAGAAATGGGCACACTCATTGGTAACATCCCTAACTGTTTTATAATGTAATTCTCTCAGGAAAAGATCATTCCCCTAGAAGAGGCTTATCACATTCAAATCCATTGTTTCATGAATGGAAGCCATTTTCTGTCCTCTCAATAACTTAGATGCTAGCACTTTACCTCAGATGGGATCAGACCAGAAGTCCATTCTTTGTAACACCCTTTGACACCAACCAATACCAGATATTTCTGCAGAAAGCAAAAAGGCTGCTAAGAGATGAAGAGATGAGGACAGTCTGCCCCTTCAGGCCCTTATCTCTGAACTGGCTCAAATTCTGAGCATGGAATATGGTTCAGTCTAAATGTTAACTCCAATTCAGCTTCATTAACTTGTCTCTCTGTTCTTGTAGTACAAGATGGAACAAGAGTTCTCTACTTTCCTACTTGCTTCACTACTCAGTTTTACAAACACTCGGTATTTGTCTTTTCTTTCCAAAGGAACTGAAGTCTTGGTCCTCCCGGTACCATCATAGGAGAAACTTTCTCCTACTCATTTTATTGCCCTTCTTCAAACCCCCCTACTTTAGAGGAATTCTTTTTCAGACATTGAGCTGTACAATACACTTTATTTCAGGTAAAGTCCAGTGGCTGATAGAATACTTTGCTCATGCTGTGCTCTACCATCCATTTTTTACCACAGCCGTACGTCTCTTCAGCAAGATATCTTTCTTCTGCTAGTAGTGGTAAATATTTCCTTGGTATACAAATAGATAATTTTTTTCCATTAAAACAAACAAACAACAACAACAATAACTAAACTTATATAAACTAAAATAAACAAAATAAACAACAAGAACTAAAAGAAACCCCCCACAACCAAAGCCTAATACCCTAGATCTTCATTACAATGCAGTCTAGTTATCTTTCTTGCTTAAGTTTTTCCAAATTACATACAGGTTCCTCAGCTCCTCAAATGGACATCCAAGGACTTCACTCTGAACATCAACAGCAAGGACTCCTGAGGTTCCTCACCATTCAGGTCTTATTTCTGGAGACCCCTCCTTTCCATCTTTGGGGTAGATGAGATGATGGCTTTGGTGCTTCTTCAGCTACTTGCTTTCAGAGGAATTTATTTAATAAAAGAAGGAACCAGCACCCTTTTGTTCTAAGGATATTCGCACCACCTTGTCATGATTCAATGCTGAACAATTAGCTCTGTCTTGTTTTAAGCATCCCAGAATAACTGCTTTCTATATTTTCACTTGACCTAATAGTTCACACTAGCTTATTATCTACTTCCATCAACATTTGGATAAATAGCTGTTCAAACCTGACCCAGGTATGAAATAAACCTAATACACACTTAAGTACACCAATATATGAATTTCAGATCTGTATCTGCTTCAGCAGAAAACAGCTATTGACTTATCTACATCTTTAACATTACAGCTTTGGATTACAGGACAAAAATGACATGGGTTTTTCTATCATTCAATAATAAATAGTTCTGACAGGTTGTTCTATCATTCAGTAATAAATAGCTCTGACGGGGTAGCTAAGTTACCGAAACAGAAAAAGAGTATCTTGTAACCTGAAAATAAATTTGGCACAGCCATCTAAGCATATCTTAGTCTTCCTTCCTATCTACATTTTGGTTGCTATGTACAAACCTTTTTCTTGTACAGTTTACTACAGGAAAGAAGGTAACAGTTGTGGAAAGCAAGCAAGCTATTTTGAGGATTGCTCCATTATTTCAATTAAAAAATAAAGGTTTGTGCAATAAATATGCTTCAATAAGCATATAGCTGTCAGTGGTGTTTCTCTTCCACTGACCTGCCTCCTCAGGTCTAAAAGGATGATGTCTAATCAAGGAGCAAGGAAGTGCTAGGAGCACAGAGGAAGAGATGTAATTGATATATTTGAGTTACAGTGAAAAATTAGAAATATAAACAGCTTCACTGAGTGTACCACAGCAAGAAATTTTATCCTGTTTTGTTACGAATCTCTCTCACAGAACACTAGCTTTTATAATAAAGTGTCGGTTTAACCTATAAGTCAAATGAGTGCCAAAGAACATTTGGAGACCGAGTGCAGTCTGACATCTAATTACACGGATTTGAGGCTCCAGTTATCAAATCTTTTATCTTTATCCCAAGCATACTAAAGGCACGGCAATTTATAGCAGGCAGCCTAAATCCTTTAGTTGAACTTTTCCTCCTCAAAATATATTCCAGTAGCCAAGCAAAAATAATGCTGCCAGCACATATGGTGTATTTGCTGTTAACAAAGTATGCATCTAAGAAAGGCATTCCAGCAGCCAGGAGTTTTATTTGCCAAGAATTCTGATTTTATATATATACATATGTATATATATATTATATATATATATATATATATATATAAAAATATAAAAGTTTTTTCTTTTTACATAGGAAACTTAGACACAAAGGATGCAAGAGTTTGTAAAGTTTTCAAGAGGCTGCTAAATACGTCCATGTAAAAACCATGCTCAGAAGCCAACATTCAAAAAAACATGAAGACTGAAAACACCTTCTTTGAGGCAGCTCACATCCTGACATTAACATTTGCATGAGAGGTTTCTACAGAAAAAGCTGTTACAGGGACTTCAGTTCCTGAATTGTCAGCCTCAGTGGAAGAGCTTAAACACAAAGAAAGGGGAGCAAGAATCTCCTGGTTTTCAGGTAATGACAAATCCAGAAGTACAACTTCTCCCTTCACTGGAGCCTCATTCGTTTTTCAGGTGGTCCTTTAGCAGCAGCACTCTGCTGAGCATTCTTTACAGTGTCTTTTTCCTCTGGCTTGACAGTTTCAGGGGCTGGTTCTGGTTCCTTCTTGATTTGATCCACTAAAGATGTAACAGCAAAAGAAAGTCAAACCTCTGATTTTTATTGCTAAAATACTGTTCTGAGTACATAGAAAATATTGTTGCTGTCAAAGGGGCAAAACTAATTTCAAAGGTGTAAGAATAAGCAGGGAGTAAATTCATACTTATGTGTGAAAAAGTGGAATAGATTGAAGAGAGTTCATCTGTTTCCTGTATTGAGGTTGCTTGTGATCAACTGAAAATCTTCAGAGGCTTTCTAGAGCTTCTAGTACCATGCAAAATTACTAAGATGCTTGACTGACTAAATTGTTTCCTCATTCACCCTTTCACCCTCCTCCTACTTTCAAAGACCACTGCCTGCATTTGGACCTTCGGGCAATCCAGTTTTACAGTGAGGGTAGGAATAGAATACACATTTTTTTCATTTTCATTCAGTATTTTGCACAATTAGGCAATGTCGGAATTCCAAACTACCTCAGTAGCAGCAGCAAGGAGCTTACATGGCAACTGGAAAATACTGCCATATAGAAGCTATTTTTTATGTCTTGTGAGAATATTAGAGTTTTACCTGGGATAGGCTTTTCTCCGGGCTTTTGCTGTAGAAGAAGAAAAAAAATAAAACAACACATCAAGGGAACCAAAATCATAATTTTTAACCTTTCTAACTATTAATTTTGGAATAAAATCCAGGCAATGCACTCTTACAGATATGAATTGAGGGTAGAATGGATCACTAAATACACTTCAAACAAAATCCAATTAACATTTTATAACGTCAAGTTTTTCCTCTTACAACTGAAGAACACTAAAGCAAAAATATGCAGTTAGCTGGTCTTTACCACATCTGAGGAGCAAATGATTCTGTGAGATGCTGTAAACATAATTTCCTTTGCTCCCAAGCAGACCACCTGGTGGAACAAATGGCTAGCAAAGACAATCAGAGGTAATCACAACAACTTTCACAGAATGCCAAGAATTCCACACTAATTAATGAGTCTTCAGAACAATGGAGCAACTAAAACAAAATATTGTGGTGACTTGATTGAGTTCACAAAGCACGAAAATGGAAGCAGCAGAAAAACCTGATAGCTGAGACCCTCTGTTATTAGATAAGGAGTTTGTATAATAAAATTCACCCTCATAGTTTGGCCTAAGTCTTAATGACTCCTGCAATTACAAAGGGGAATCCTGCACTTCAATCAGAGCCTTCCATTTTAAATTTATTATCTAATCCATGTTACCATTGCAGAAATACACAAAATTCCTATTCGGTTTCAACTATTCAAGTACTTATGACCGTCTTTTAATTTCTAAGTAAGTTACAGTAATATTGTGGCTTTTAAGTGTCATACCTGAACAAACCTGGGTGGAAACTTCTGTCTTAGGTCTAAAAGCAAAGCATCTACCCGTTGCCTTTGGAAAATGGAACTTGGTTCTTCTTTCTTCTTGGCTTTTGGTTTAGCTTTCTCTGCAAGTCACAGAAACATAAGAGAAAGAGGTATTAAAAATTCTTTTAGCAGCTCTTTGTTGTACAAGTCGGTATTTGACTCTCCTCTAACCTTACCACTTGACAAACTTGTTTGACTTATGAAAATGTACACTGGCCTCCAGCGGGTTGAACAGTCGCCCACTTTGTTGACACTCAGCTCACCATTTTCATGTCCCACCTATGCCTCGATGTTCATCCCCACCAGCACAGAAGAACAAGATTCGTTTCCTCACACAGGGAGCTCTCACTTACCCTTTAGACACTTCACCTCACCTCTACACCATCACCATGCATTGCCTCAAGCTTTTCCCTACATTACCCTTCCTCTTCCAAAGTATGCAGGAGCAACTAGGAATCATACCTCTTTCTTCTTGATCTTTAAAATGCCACCAGTAGCCCTTGGATGGGTGATAGCGACAGTAAGACATAGCTTCTTCAAAAGCAGACTGAATTCCGTGCACTGCAGTGAGCTTTCAGGACAGGAACATATGGCAGTGTTAGAATTTAAGGAGAAAATACAATATAAATTTTTGAAAGCAGAGTTTTTAAAATTAGTGTTCTATATTCATTTTTATTCTGGGAAGGGAACTTGGGACATCTAGATTTGGACCAAGAATATAATTTAACAGGTGCTCACAAGGCATTTTCTGAAATGCTCTTCTAAACTGGCAGAGAAAAACTTGCAAAAGCAGCAGTTTATGAGACAGAAGGAATCAAAACAAACCCAAGCACGCAATTTAAAAAGAAGTACCATCACATCAGCTTAAAAATGTAAGCCTCATTTAAAAATATATATTACATTAGCTTAACATCAACATTCACATTTCAAAGCAACCTTCACTGAATATGTATTTAGTTACTATTTCATATGTATTTGTCAAGTAATTTTTCTTTTAATTATTCAAACCTGATGCTGTTTTAGCAACTGTGTAGCTTCAGTTATTCTGATCCTTCATCCTTAAGCAATGTATCTCACTTTTTGGGCAATACTGCACTGTCACAGGATCTTTCATTTTCATGTGGGATGCACACAATATTAACCAGGGGGGGTTAATGTTTTTAAGTTAATGCACTGTTACTACACATGATCTTTCCTCAAAAAAGTGAAGGAAAGATTTAAACAGTCTGGAGAAAAAAACAAAAGTAAAAACAAACACAAACCAGTACACATCAAATGCACAGAACACTTACAACTCTGGAGTTAATGACAGACCCTAAGTCAGGTGCTTGATAAATTACTCCAGCAATAATATAGTAGTCGGCCAATGGAATAACTGTGGGGAGGAAAAAAAGAACAAGATCGATTTAAAGCTCTGGTTTAAGACTGTGTATTTATTGCTGTATTTAAGCTTTAAGACTTCAAACAAATGACTGGCCTCACAAGAACTGGAGTTTTCAGAGCCACACCAGTAGAGTCAAGTGAACTGCACTGGAAGTAATTCCACTTGCCTTGGCTACCAGCATAAACCCACAACACTGTAAGATCTCATTCTTCTGGACTCAGCTTTCTCCAAATCATACAATCCTCTCAGCTAGACTTCCCAAATCAAATGGTGTTAAGCACACACAGAGCATGCCTTTCTAAATTAATAACATTTTGCCGAAAAAAGACTGCCTTCCAAAGGCATTTGCTAAATCAGATTTGGAACCTCTACTGACCAATCCAAAATTCTTGTTCATTAGAGATGCAGTGCAGAGAAACATCACAACTGCCTCCGTAAAAATCTGCCAAACATTCTTCAGTTGAGCAACAATCACAATGCTATCGGCTTTGCATTCCTAAGGACTTTACCTGTGCACACCTTTGTTGCAGTTCCTCCATCTGTATTAACAATTCATCCAGTACTTGCATTTTATGAAGCTTGGACACCTGCCTAAATTAACAGTCCAAGACAGTTGGGTGCACAGTTCAGCCAGTACCCACTTATCCTCAAAAGAAAAAAAGATTCTCAGCACTTCCTTACAAATGGAGCAAAATACAGAACAGCAGCTTTACTGTCTCAGAGCTCTGTACCAGAGCAGCCTACTTTCTTAGACAGGTTACTCTCCCTAATCATTGGATCTAAAGATCTTTCTAAAATCACTTCAAATAGGCAAAAACTTGTCTTAAAGAATTTAAAATATAAATATATGTTTTTTAAAAACACACAGAAGTCATAAGACAGGCCTGCACCAGCTGTATTTGAGTACCCTACACTAGCTGTGAACTCATTAAATTTTAGTTTTCCCTCCCCATTCCCATGTCTCAAATACACTAATATTTGTACCATTACAAAATGAAACACATGGGTAACATCTGAGCTAGGGAACTGTGTGACTCAATCAAGGTACCCACCACAAACTGTACAGTCACAGTGAGAAAAAGATGTTACCAAACAAGTCCCAGCTAAGTTCCACCAAACATACATTTGCCTTACGGCACAAGTTTGAACACACATATTGTGGAAATCCAATCTTGATCTAAAAGGTGTCAAAACCAGAAATTAAGGGCTGCATGATATTTCCATACTCACCTTCTGGAAGCTAGATTCAAAACCTTTAATAAGGAAATAACTCAAATCTACCAAAGAATCAATCGTGTATGTTCTTTTTCAATATGGAACTGCAATATAAAGAGGTCATTACCTAATATAAACAAATAAGCAGCATTGCCAAGACAAGGCAAAGTCCCATACAAGACCAAAATGCATATGCAGAGCTTAAATCCCTAAAAAAAGAAGCTAAAAAATAACTTGCACTAACTTTGCCTTTCCTTTCTATAAAGCTTACTCTGAAATAACCTAAATTATTTTATATAAGCATGCAGTAAACAGAGAAGATAGTCCAATAGCTACTGAAATGTGACTACTTATCTGATTAATCACACACACAAACAAACAAATTCGAGGTTAAAAAGGAATAATTATGCCAGTTGCATGCAGACGGGGGAAAAAAAGCTAAGGTATTGGATTAAAATCTTGAAAAGGTCATCAGTGACCCTGTAAGGAGTGGTGCTGTTGTCACAAGATTCCATCACGATAAGAAATCAACACTCTTGCATAGCCTAACAGATAAATGTGACATGGAATGAATGCTATTACCGATCTCCCGTGGCAAAATGTACCACGGGGCAGCACTTTCTCATTTGCTCTTCCCATGTCACCACAAGATGGCAGTCCCTGCTGCCGGCACTCTGCAGGTCACTGCTGGAGAAGTACGCCCGCCCCATCACAAAGCCTCACACCCTTCCAGTTAGATTTAAGGTAAAGACAGAAAAGGGGAAACAGAAGTGCTTAGATGCAAATTAGGAACTGATAAAAACGACTAACTGATCAGACTTCTCAAACTGAGTGACCATACCTTGTGTTGGAGATTGCCTTTGCTGCTTTCGGATAATGAAGAGAATGGGCTCTTGAGCATGGAGAAGGATGTACTCCACTCCAACCATCTGGCTGAAAAAGATGCAACCAGAATAAGTATCCTCCTCAAAGTAAAATCTGTAGGATGTGAAGAGCAGCCAAGGGGCCCAGCAGTAAACCGATGAAGTTCTGATGCTTTGGAAGCTCTTCTATATAATGTGCAGTAAATAAAGGCATAAGATTTCCTGAGTTAGCTATCAAGCCCTAGGTGCATGTACAAAAGGAATTATAACAACCTGACACAACATCTAAGTGGAATGTATTAGCAACAAATAAATGGCAAGAAAGATAACAATCTATCATCATCGAGATTTCATTTAAACGTAGCAACTAAGAATTCATGTATGATGTGACCATCTGCATGGCTGGTGTAAAAGCCTCTCTGCAACCACAACCAAGCACAAGGGACTTTACCAATGAACTTTTAGCTCTGCTTGCACACTCCCTATCATATTATGGAGTCTTTAAATAGTTCTCAATCTTGTGCTCAGCGTAACAGATGGGGAACTGCAAAGAAAGTTAACTTGCATGTCCTGCAATCTCATTACACAACCAGATGGGATCAGTTTATTTACAACACTCACTACTCTTATTATCCATACTAAAAAGCCAGCTATTCGGAGGAATTATGTACTGATTATGGCACATAGCCAGCAGGATATGGAAACACAAACTATTCATGAACTCAAAGTATCCCCTAACATAAACCCTATTCACCACAGAAAAATATTTAACTACATTACCATTACTCAGGTTCTGTTGAGCTGGAAGGATGAGAGAAGGCAGCTTTTCTATTTCAGAGAAATATCTAAAAGGTGATTTACTGGAATCTCAAAAGATACACAGAATACTTCATGCTTAACACCTCCTTGAAACAGCACAAGAGAAAGTAGAAGACATCCAAATACAAAAAAAGCTGGATTCCCTGGCTAGTGGTGGGACTAAAAAACACAGAACAGAAGGAGGTTTCCAGCATCCTTCCATTAAACCATCAAAGTCTTTGGATGGAGGGACAAGGGACACTGCACAGGAAGCAGTTGCAAATTACAACTTACTTCAAATGGTCCAAGGTCATCCGCTGCATTTTGACGACTTCATTGTTACATGTTCGGTCATAGAATGGGTTACTTCTCTCTGAGAAATAGTCCAACACACTCCCATTGTTTAATATTGGAATCCAGGAGCTGTCAACCCAGGAAATTCCTAGGAGGTTGTCTGGGAAGATAAATCTACACTGAGTACTAAAGCAGCCAGAAACATGCAAATCCATCCAAGAGTAAATTGCCACCAGTTAATGACTACGGCAGAGAAAGGAGATGGAACACAGCCTCACACAAACCAGTTATAATTAAAAGTGTTTCACAGAGTTCAAATAATAACTGATAACCTTTAACCTGCTGCAGTTCTCTTGGAGGTACACAAAAGAAACAGTCTCTCTTTTTATGACTGCACTTTTCTTTCCTTGACCACTAGACACCTTTGTGTCTCAAGAACGTGAGCAGGGTCTGTGTGCACATGTATGTGCTCTGTGCTGCTGGGACTTAATTGGCTCTGACACTGCATATAATAATATCATACTACATCGACTCAGCAGTATTATGTACAAGTTTACTTTCCAAACACAGCATTAGCTGAGTAGAAAGCCAATACAAAGCATGGTTCCTTTTGAAAACTACGTCTGGTAAGTAAGTTGAATTTACTAAACTAAGTCAGAATCAGTTATGGAGGTGAGGGTGGAGTGGAAATGATACAGTCCACACTAAATATGAACCTGATCATGTTTAAAACAATTTATTTCTTGCAAATATAGTTTCCAAGCTGTAAACTATGATACTGAAAAACAGGTAGAACTCTACAGATTAAACCAAGAGTTTTCTATTGCTAAAGCCAATGTGTAAACTACTGAGTGAAACAAAATAGTGCTACTAGTAACATTTCTCATATGTTCTGTTACTAAAATATATAACATCATGATGTTTCAAAGATTGTTATTATACAAAAAAAGAAAACTGACCCCAAAAAATAACAGCAGATACAAAGATGCTATCTTTAGGCAGATGTTTCCCAATAGTCTTGAACAAGAGATTCTATTCCTGGCTATATAATTAATCTGCCAATTTGCCTGCAGAAAATTATTTATTCCACAACTCAGTAGGTATTACAGAAATCAAAATACAGAACATTAACAATTATATAAAAAGCAAGCTTTTTAAATGAAACATATTCAATAACCTACAAGTCATTACATGCCAGCTAAATTCCTACAGATTTAGGGAAATTTGCATTAACGTCCCTGAATTTTATTATCACACTGCAGCAAAACCATATTCCTCAAGCAGACCAAAAAAAAACCAGTGTAACAATCAGTTTCATTGTCAACAAATCTGCTAACATTGGAGATCCATGAGGCACCTTAAAAAACACATTCAAACTCATCCATTTTAAATCGCAGAAGCAGCAAATAGAATTTCCAAGACACAAGAAAGCAGGAAAAGACGTATTGTTTAGATTTAAAAAAATGTAAGCGATGAGATGTCACTGAAAACTGACTGAAGAACTGAAATTCCCTCCGCACAGGAACCACTCCCTAAAGTTCACACATTATATACTTACCCAGAACTCCCACTTTTATCATTCCGCTAAGAATATTTTATTTCTGTGCAATTCTGTGACAACTCAGCATGCTCAAGGATGACTGGATCAGTCCCAAAAATGTCAGTTCATACACTATTAGCAGCTTCTCTGAGGAACAGTTAATTAAGTAACACTACCTGCTCAGCTAATTAGGACAAATGCAGCATAAACAGCTACACATAAGCCTTGTTAATCTTAGAATTGCCAGCCTAACTCTTTTTGGGTGGGGGAGCAGGAGGTCTAGAGGCATTCATGTTATTTCACACACACTATTCTCTCTCCTCACTATAAAAATGGAAATCTCAGTAACACAGCACTAAGATCCATTATTAAGCACTTAAGTCATGGTAACGCTGATTATTCCAAATGCCTTTCAATGCCAAAAAAAGCTTTCCTTTCAAAAAAACACACAAAATATGAAGTGTTTGCATTATTATCATAATAAATTCTCACATTATATTTCAAATACAAACTTTTCTTGTTTGTATGCTTAATAATAACTGCATTTCTCTGGGGAATGTCAGGCAAGCTTTAGATCTATCTATCTATCTATATAGCTATAATGCTGTATATAGACTGATAAATGTATCATAAAATGGAATATAAAGTTGGACTCTAAGGCTCAATTATCCATAGATGCTTAGTGCCAGTATTTACAACTGCCTTTATAACTAGCAAGATTGTTCTCTTAAACTATTGTTGGAAAAAGGGAGGAAAAATAAAACCAATCTCGAACTTGACATGCCTGTTATACTGAAAGGAGTACTGTTTATTTTGGGTATGAGAAAGAAAGGATGGTGTTCCTGCTTCCCTGTTCGTTTCAAAAATAGGACATCTTGTTCAAAGCATTTCTTGTGGAATTTGCATCACAGATGCAAAAGTAAAGTGCTTGTGACAATACTGCCAATCTGTCATGAATTTCAAGACAATTTGGGAGACAAGCCAGCAAACCATAGCAAAAAAGAAGAGTAATTCATACAGTGGCTTGTTCCTGGCCTTGACGGCTGGATAGCCCAACGCTAGGCTTTGACAAACTAAGAGAACAGTAAAATAGCCTGATAGGGTATTGGGTTTGCATGACCAGGTTTTAGTAGTGGGGCTGCTACAGGGGTGGCTTCTGTGAGAAGCTGCCAGAAGCTTCTCCTATGTCTCACAGAGCCAATGCCAGTTGGCTCAAAGACAGACCTGTCACTGGTCAAGGTCAAGTCCATCAGCAATGTCAGTTCCACCCCTGCAATAATGTATTTAAGAAAAGGGAAAAAAGCTGCACAACAGCAATTTCAGCCAGAGAAAGGAGAGAGAAACAACTCTGCAGTCAGTGAAGAAAGAGGAGCAGGAGGTGCTCCAGAGCAGAGGTTCCCCTGCAGTCCATGGTGCAGACAGTGGTGAAGCAGGCTGTTCCCATGGAGCCCATGGAGAACCACAGCGGAGCAGAGATCCACACGCAGCCCCTACAGGATCCCACACCAGAGCAGGTAGATGCCCAAAAGAGGCTGCAACCCCATGAGAAGCCATCACTGGAGCAGGCTCCTGGCAGGACCTGTGGTGCCATGGAGAGAGGAGCCCAAGACTGGAGCAGGTTTGCTGATAGGACTTATGACCCTGTGGAGGACCCACACTGGGGCACCTCGTTCACATTTCTCCCAATGCCAAGTGCAATACAAGCCATGCCAAGCAGCCCCATGAGTTGCCAGGCCCTGCAGAGCTGGCAGATCCTGTCCACCTCCCAAAGCTGGCCCAGAGGACAGGGTAGGTCAGAAGCCATGCTCTCTGTGACAATGGACAGTTGTTCAGTCCCTTGGGGGGTGATGTCCATCCTGACCCAGCCCTGGGGGCTGCAAAGGTCTTGGTCATTTTGGAAAAGTGAGGGATCACCCGTGAAAACCAAGCTACTCATCCTGCATAGGAAGTACTTAAAAACTGTAAGCAGGTTGGTTTAAGTGCAGAATATTAATCTGCATTATTAATTCCACCAATTTAAGAGACCAAGATGGATTAAACAAAATTCATTGTTGACCTGTATTTTAGATCACACATGGTCCAATTTCAAAAATTTGTGGAGAAAAAATTTTCTCAGCCTCTTCGATTGCCAAAAATACGGTTGGTTTTAGTGTCAGCAATATCTACTTTGAATTTAAAATATATTCCCACATTATGGTGGGCCCAAAGGCATAAGGTAAAATTATACCAACAATTCCATTTTTCAGAGGTGCAAAATTTTGGATTTTTCACTGCTGGTTTTGATGTATGATGCACAGAAAACTGGGATGCCTTTTTATAGGTAGATCCATTGATCATCCAGCATTCTACTTTAATTCCTAACCCTTCTTCTTGAATTCAGGGAATATTATTATCAGCTTCAGCCTTACCTGACCCCATTCATTTTTCAAATATATAACCAAAGTGGCTAGGCTTAAATCTGTTTTACTGGAATGTACCACCTTTTGTAAACTGTTTCACTGACTGATAAACCTAACTGGGGAGTTATGAAGGCTATATGGAATACCTTTTAACTGTGACAGAAAAAAGAACTGTGTTAAAGATGGTGAAAGGAGAGCAACAGACAGGGGGGCTGGGCTCTGAAAGGGCTCCCACCTTTGGCCTGAACCAATGTGCTCTTTGTAGGCAGGAAGGGTCAACTAGAGGATGCAAATGTTATGACGCCAGAGAATTTCTGACAATGAGGGAAGGGGACGGGGGAAAATACCAGGGCATCCCCAGCAGGTCTCCTAGTTCCAGTATAAGCAGGGAATGAAACAATAGATTTCTGATTGACAGCAGAGCCACATAATCAGTAATAACTAGCTGCAAGGGCCTGCTAAGTAAAGTTATGAAACTGATTATTGGAGCAATGGGAAAAAGAGCTTTACTGCCATTCTTGACACTCATAGAGTGTCCAATTGGACTAAACTGACTAACAAGTTTTTATATCCAGAATGTCCTCTTCCACTGTTGTTGAGCTAAATGGACAAATAACTTTTTTGGAGAACTCTGTACAGCTATACATCTCATAGGAAAAGGCATAGAAAGCTCAAATCTGTTTACCATGAACCAGACTTGAGAGAAACACGAAAATGTCACCCTGGATGCAGTATTGAAGGCTGCTTAGAGACTGTCAATCTGAATTTAACACCAATAAAGAAGCCTCATTCTAAGGAGTATAGGCTGGTACAGAGTTTAAGAGCAATAAATCAAATACCTCAACTCTGTGTGTGGATGGGCTTCTTGCACAATGGGTGAAAGAACCTGTTTCGTGACAACAACAGTGGAGAAGTTCATGGAGGACAGTCCTCCATGGGAGGGATGCCACAACGGAGCAGGGCAAGAGTGTGAGGAGTCCTCCCACTGAGGAGGATGGAGCAGCAGTGACAGCATGTCTGAACTGATCACAACCCCATTCCCTGTCCCTCTTTGCTGCTCAGGGGAGAGGAGGTAGAGAATTTGAGAGTAAAGTTAAGCCCAGGAAGAAAGGAGGGTAGAGGGGAGATTTTGTTTTGTTTCTCATTATCCTCCTCTGATTTGATTTAATTAATCTGATTCAATTAATTTTTCCACATTGAGTCAGGTATGCCCATGAAAGTAACTCATGACAGGTGAATGATCTCTCCCTGTCCTGCTCTCGACCCACAAGCTTTTCATTTTATTTTCTCTCCCCTGTTCTGTTGAGGACAAGAGTGATAGAGTGGTTTTGGTGGGCACCTGCCATCCAGCGAGGGTTGACCCACAGCAGACAGCTTAAAAACAGAAGTATGCCTCAAAATCTACTTAATATATTAAATCATGTCAGATAAAAGACTCTGAGGAAGCTTAAATGATCTGGATTAAGACAGAAGGTCCTCACACCAGCTAATAACTTAACACAGTGCTCCTCCATTAAATGTCCAAATAATTCCTTCCTGTAATCTCAAATAAGGTAGTCAGAAAAACACAGAGGACTACACATATCATTAAGAATTTAAAGAAAAAAGGAGAAAACCTCTGTGGCATTATCAAAATTGACTCTTCACAAGCTTTCCCTAAATATCTGCTCATGATCACTGAGACTCCACCACAAAGGCTTCTGATGTGATTCCAATGTCACCTTATAAAGAAAAATAATTTCCTTTCTCTTGCCTTCTCAACCCCCAATTCCTCTCTCAAAGTTCAAATTCTTCACAGTAATGTAACTTATATTTTGATTACAACATAAACCTTCTTTAATACTTTATTCAAATATCACCCCTTCTTCAAAACATTATCTCTTTTTCCTCGTAACCCTGAATTCTCACACAAATATTTCTCGTTCTCAGTTACTTCAGCTTGCTTTCTGGTCTTCCTAACATCTGGCCTCCCTCATAACATCCACCTGAAATGCTTTTAAGATTACCAGCCTCACTCTCTCCTCTGGTCTCAAGCAAGTCCCACACGCATGCCCGCGTTTCCTACTTTCCTCCACACTTCAGAGCTGAAACTCTCTTTTTTTAGCTATTCCCTCATGTCACCATCTCACTCCAGGACCTTCTTATCCCACCTGTAAAGGCAGAGCCTACCAAAGGGAGGCTTGCTTTGCCCAGGTGACCCTCAGCACACCCTCCTAGCCCGCTGCATATCCCAGAAAACTGTTTTTTTGGGCAGCTTTTCATCTCACCGCACGGATGCATTAGCAACGCTACTTGTGCACAGTTTCCAAGGACCGTCACACCATCACACCGACCCCTTCCTCAAGTCGCCCCGCCGCGCTCGGCCCCGCAGAGGGGCCCGGCTGTGCCCCGCGGAGGGCGCTCCCCGCCCGCGGGCGGAGGTCGGTGCAGGGAGGCGGGCAGGGCCCCCGGAGCGGCGGGGAGCGAGCCCCGAGCGCCCGCCCCCGGCCCGGGCCTACCTCGGATGTCCACAGCCGCCATGGCCGCGCCGCGCACTTCCTCACCGGGGCGGGGCGACGCGCAGGAAGCGGCTGTGAAGCGGGGAGGCGGCGCCGGCGGGACAGTGGGGTGTGGGGGGAGAAGGTTCCTGATCCCGAGGCCGAGTTGCTGGACAGGGAAGCACTCGCTCGAAGAGCAGTCGTTTTCACCTGATCTTGACTCTCTGGTAGTTGCCGGTCACTTTCAAAGTAAAAGAGATGCGGGCTGTAGGTTTGCTGCTCGGCATCACAGTCATCCTGGTTGAATTGGCTGGGGTATCTCTGATTTAGTTTGCCGTGTGGGAATAATGTGGGATGTTTGAGATCACACTATCAGAATACTGCATGGTTCCTGCCCTGAGGTTTGGTCCTGGGCATTTTGGCTCTTAAGTGATACCATTGGTCATTTACAGGGTGAAGAACAACATTCAGTGGGTGGAAGAATATACATGCACTGAAGATTAACGAGCTTTTTATTTAGATTGACAACTACAATCTACCAATCTGCTGTACAAAGCGTCCAATACCCTTGTGTCATGCTAGCGTAGCTCCAGGCACTCATCTTGCCCGAGCCTTTGCAGAGGCTGCCGAGATCAGCCCTTCCTTCGCTGGCAGCAGCAGGGTCTAAGTGAGTCTGGAGGATATCAGCTCGCTAATGGCACGTAATGGTAATTAGTGATGGAATTTCTTCCCCTTCTGTTACAGATCTGTGTGAATAAAGTACAGAAGTACTTTAGTGTGTATAAAGTACGGGAAAGGGATATTATTATTGTATGAGAGCAATCAAACAGTTAGACCAAACCAGAGCTGATGCTGCTTATTTGCTCTTTATTCAGTCCTTTCATACCAATGCATTAGCAGACAAACGTTATGTTGCAAACCCACATATTCTTCCCCCCGGCTCTCCACCCCCAAGGTTTCCTGTCTCATTCAATATGTTAGAGTCACTATCTGACTTGCAAATATTCTGGGCTTATTTTCTGCGAAGGAGAGCTGCCTGAAGAACACTTGTTTTATGTGTTTCAGGTGATGAAAGATGTGAAGGTACCAAGTGAAGGTTACAGAAAGTGACAAGATCAGGCAGAATAATGCTGCTTTGGAAAACTGGACTTTAGTCATGCCAGTGATATAGTCATTACATTACATTAATGAAGTTTTTTTCAACCTAACGTGGTGTATAGATGCGCTGAGCCTTTGTTGCAAATACAGTAATGGTCATGCTTTGTCTGTCCTGTAAGTCTCTGCACACTGACAAGTTAAGTTCTCTGAAATCTCTCACACTTTAATCACCCAAAATAAGATTTTTGTAATCTCAGTACCTCAAGGCTATATCTCTAAAAGGGAGGTGATGACATGCTCCTTAGCTCTGAGTGGTTCATGAAAATAAATTTAATAATGTCTGCAAAAATATGAGGCTGGGGTGGTAAGTATCCTGAGAAAAATGATCTTCTCTTCAAAAACGATTTGCTTATTGTGCAAAAAAATAAGTAAAAAAGATTGAACAGTGGAAAAAAACTACTGAACAGAAAGCACTTTTCAATTGTAGCACTGAATTCAGAAGAAAGCTATGAAAACGCAGCACTTGGTAGTCTTTAATGGCACAAATACAGTAAAAATTGAATCTAACCTTAATTTTTCAATTTTACGATTCCTGAGTGCTCATTTTCGTTACCGAGATAATATTCTGTGAAATATACTTTTCCATGGGGTAATTCATATGCATGTACACTGCATATCCCCATGCACTAGGTAGCTGCTACTTGTCAGCAGTTTGAACCTTTGCCAAACACATCTCTCTGGTGTTATCCTCACCAGAGCATTTCCAAATAATACTATGGTAGGTTGCCATTCTAAACCAAATACTTTAATATCCCTGTCATGAACAATCCTCCTGAAGGGCAAAAATGCCAACCGACATAACAGCCATCCTTCTGGAGAATCTCTGATGCCCTGTCTCATTCTATTTTTGTGCAAACCATTTCTCTTCAGTAGCAAATAGGAACTCAACCTCTATTTTAATTATTCATATTGTCCATCTTTCCTGCTGACTCTGCACCTCTCCAGAGCAAGTATGTCTTTGGATGAGTGAGGGGATGAAAAGTAAAGATTTCTGGATGGGAAATAATGGGGTTTGATGGCTTACGATAAATTTTCAATTACATGGTGAGACTAGCCAAAGCACTGCTGGAAAGAACTGTTCATCTGGTAACATTTTCACCTTCTGCTATAGCATAAAAGGCTAGGGCTTTTTCACTCGACTCCCTCTAAAGGGAGAGTCCTAATGAGCATTGCGGTTCTGTCCTTCTCAGCAGGAGGTGTGGATTACAGATGGAGAGCTAATGAAAGCTATCAGATAAAATGAGGAATTTATGCACACTGCTTTTGATGTCAAAGAAAGGCACCTTAAGCAATGAATACTTATTCATTCCATTTGTGTACTTAAGAATTCATAAAATACTTGGATAAAAACTGACACCTTTTCATGGCTCGGTATTTGGATGTCATTTAGCATCACCCTCCCCCAGTGGAATTATTCTGTGTATTTCTCTGGTCAGAGATAATGAGGAATCTCATTCTACTGTGCCCCCCTCTACACATATATATATAACAGAAGAGACTGTCTGTAATTTACAATGTTCGTTATCTCCAGTGGATGCAGGATTGGTAATCCTATGTGCTCCAAACCACATTATGGGCATAGCTGGAAGACTACCAAGGAGTCCCTTTATAGTCTCAAATAAACACAGCTAAATTGAGAAGGCTACATCTAAAAAGGGACGGAAAACCATCTCTGTGCACATCTCTAGCAGTCTGCAGGGACTGAACAATAATTTAGCTATATGCCATCAAGTGAAAAGTATTGTGTATGTATCCTTATCATTATACTCTGGGCAGTTTCCAAAACATATTAGAGGCTGCTGAAGAAGATCATCACAGCACTTTGGATTCTGCCAACCTGCATTTGAACTCACAGATTAGTAGTAAGAAGCTCCAAGTCCCATTTGGTGTTCTACTAAATCTGGTTCTGCAGCAAAGCACAAGGGAAATTTAAATTCCTATGCTAATAAAAAATTGCTGGGTTTGAATTAGTTATGAAATGAGCAATTTGGTACTGTTTTTTTAATAGTAAATAGGAATGGGAAAATATTCTTTTAAATCCTTATCCTGTAAGGAAAGACATCAAAAAATAAACAAACCAGTGACAGAAACTTATGGGCAAATGCTGAAATCACAAAATTGGAAGGGAGGGAAAGGGAGTGTTTGAGTGGCCTACCATGAGTTCATCCCCCGCATTTTGTTTTAACATTTTTGCTGGTGAAGTTTCTTTCTTTCCACCCAGAAAACAATCACGTGGCCAGTGTCTTCAGATGGCATTACACGTGCAGTCATTTACAGAATAGCTTCCAGTAGGCCTCAAAAGCCATCACTGAATTGTGCTTTAGAAACCCATAGCACAGCCAAATTGCAAAATTCTGGTTTTTAAATCCTTAATCAGGCACTTTTGCTGACTTCAAAGTCTGTTAATTTCTCCTTTCGCTCAGTGCATCTGCGTGTACTTTTCCTTTTCCTGAGATGCTGTTTTCTGCACATTTTTTATAAATACTGCTAATCACATGCATTGACTAAGAAAAAATAGCCAGGCTTGTAAGTTCTTTTTTTTTCTCCTGGAAAAATGCCACTGGGAAGATCTAACTAAAGTGGCTGCAATGATGGCCGCAGCTGGTGCTCTTATCAAAACTGGATCCCCCCTCATTGCTCTTGGCTCTGGGCTGCAAAGAGTAGAAAAGCTGGGAGACACTGAAAAGAGTGATGGTCCTGGCATCCTCAGATCATTTTAAAACATCGCATTGTTTTTTATTACTTTATTTTGCTTTATTATATATTATTTATATAATAAATAATATATCATTTTAATATATATTATATATAATATATATAATATATTATATATATTTATAATTACTATATTATTGCTTTATTACAGTCTCCTGTTTGAACTCCTGTTTGAAGGGATGGAGAAAGAAAAGATGAAACCCTGCTAACAGTCTAAAAGCTTCCTGAAAACAATTAATCTCCCAATAAACCCCCAAAGGCTATCTGTCAAGAAGTTAATAAAGATGAAATGTCAGGATGCCACATGGCTGCTAACAACTGCAGGCAGGAGGGGAAATGAGCTTTCAAGCAAAGAAGCACCAGCTATGTCATCCTGCATATGATCACGTATTAAAACCACACTGAAACTCCAGATGATGACTTTTGTGTCTCTGCAGACATCTCTGACCTTAGCAACTCTGCTGCTGCATTGGCATTAACAGCACAAAAGCCCATGACAAAGAAGGATGCAGGAAGTACAATCTGCAGGTGTTGGATAATCCGGAGGGGACTGGTAGGAGAAACAGAAGCTGCCCCATGTCCCAAGAGCTGCACAGGTCAGACACAGGCCAATGTCCAGCAAGAGGCAAACTGAGCTGTCAGACAACCTTGGAGTATGGCCTCCATCCGATACGGCTCTACTTGTCTGTATTTGTTTGCTGGATTGGGAGTCAACCAATGTTTTATTTCCTCCCAGTTTCCAAAGGGCAGATCAGAGCCCTGGAGCAGAGCCCTGGCCCTACTCACTGCCAATGAGCAAACAGTGTCTGCTGACAGCCCAGGCTTGCCCAGAACAGAGAGGGGGAGAAGTGCAAAGCAGTCTTCTCACCATGCACCCTCTTTATTGCACAAACCTAATAATCTAATATTCCCAATCTCTGAACTGCACTACAGACAGCATTTGAAGGACATCTCTCAGTAAGCTTTGATCCCTCCCAGTGGGAGGATGCAAAACATGGGCAGGATGACCAGATCAGGAAGCTGAAAGAAACAATTTCAATGCTTCAGGATTGCAGAGAGCTACAAAATCCTGCAAGCAGCACTGGTGGCAGAACATTCATGAAACCCCCTTAGCATTTTCTCTGCTTCAACAGCCTCAGGCCTCATACTGTTAAAAGGGTTCTATTTCTCTTCAGGGAAGAATTTTCATATCTGCTCCATTCATTTAGTCACATATGTTTTTCCCCTGCACCTTCTGTCTACCTAAAATAGATATCCTCACCTACTATGAGATCTGAGTGTACACACTTCATCACTGTCTCAGGTACCTAATGGGCCAGGCAGGTCCTTGATTGGAGCCCTTCTTCCCTGCTCTCCTTTTACATTATTTTTTACTGGTGTTGGTTGCCTGGTAACTCTAACACCTTTGCTTCCTTCAGAGGAATTTTACAGTACCAACAGGTACTGAAAAAAACCACATTATTTCCATCCTGGCTGCTATTTCCTTTTTCATCCGTGCCTCCACACTACGCAAAGTTGAAGTCAGACAAATTGCCCAAGTGTTGGCCCCAGGAAACAGCCACATAGCCAGGGCTGCTCATCCCTGGGACCAGAGCACGCGGGAATTAGTGCTAACATCTGAGCTAAGCTAAGGTGGGGAACCTGGCCTATTTGCTGGGCCTGTGAAAAACGATCTATTCAAAGTGTACCTTCTGTGCTGGGTAATACTGCATTGTCAAAGGTTATTTGCAAGGTAATTGGACACTGTTTTGGACAGAGGAAAGGTCAAGTTTGGTAGAGGTGACATAAGTTTATAGGGGCCTTTCATCTCAACAGCTTCTGACTGCTTAGTCTGAACAAGGTATTTTCAGAGGGGGGATTTCCTCAGTCACTGCAAATGTGGCTGAGAAAGTGTGGGTTCCTCTTCCTTTCCATTCAGAAGTGGCTGCAGAGAGTGTCATTATAGGCTTCACCTCCTTGCTCTATAGCCTCTAAACTGCAAGGTCCTCTATGGGGTAGGAATCTACTAGTGAATCAGTGTCCAGCATGGGCTCTGGGTTCTGCACTTTATAGAGAAATCTCATTCTCAGGAATATCCATTGCTTCTCCTGCAGGAGTAAGAAAATTCTTAGCACAGGTTGCATTAAAAAATTATGGGTTTTCCTACCCAAATACAGTTTGTCTTATACTTGGCTTCAGTATGGTCCCCAAGAAGCAAGGTTGATCCCTTGTGTATCAGAACAATATCAGCCCATCATATTGGTCCTGCATTCTGCATCATCAGAGACTGAGATTAGTTTTGCTGTGCCACTTCACAGAAACTTAACAGAGACTGTACCTGTGCCCCTGAACTCACAATGTACAAAGCTGGAAACAATGTAGCTTAGCAGGAGGACACTGTCCAGGACATTTTTGCACATGAGAGAACCCTCCATTTGCAGACATTCTCTCAACCACATCAGCCAAGAGTGGGCCAGTTAGGAAAATTTTACACCAGGCTTTGATAGGAAAGAGTAGGTTAAATTAATTAGGTTCACATCACAGAGGTTCAGCGTCTGCTCCAAACGATGACGAACCTGCACTGATACCAGAGCTTCATCTGTATAATGGAAAGCATCACAGCACCCTTCTGCTTTGCAGATCATACTGAAGTCAGTAGGTATGTGGCAACTTACAGAACATGCTGGGATAGTTGCATATCCAACAAAGAACTAGTCATGTTTTTCTATCAGTGCAATGGAGAGTGGAGCCAGGACGCTTACGGATTAGCAAGCAAATTATTTTATTTGATCATTCCCCCTACTCTCATCTCCCCAGTGTTTTAAATATCCCTTTTGTTGAACAGGAAAAAATTAGAATAGCTAGGCAGGAGATACATGAACATATCTGATCTACTGGAGTGTAGCCAAACCAGCAGCGTCAGGCATGTGTTTCTATAGTACTTAGCAGAGTGGGGCTCCACTGGGAGTCAGAAGCATGATGATGCAGTGATAAATAATGATAATAGGAGCATCAGGAGATGAATACAGACAAGCTAGATGTGCTACAAATCTGTCAAAAATTATTGACATTTACCATCAGCATCCACCACATGACCTTCATAGCTTGATTCTGTGCCATGAAGTGTAGACTGTTGTTCGAGGGCAAAAAATGGTAAGGCAGGGCAACAGGGCTGTGCCCCCAGGACAGGCTTCCCCAGTATGGTACAAATCAGCAGCAAAGTGTTTCATTCACATATAGAGCACTGAATCTGTAAAATATGTATTTCTGCCCAGCAGGAAATGTCCTCACGTAATCAGCTTGGGCTCTGCACTGAAAAAGGACATCATGAGCCTTACTGAGCTGTACAGTCTGACACAGCCATACAGCCCCAAAATAATCCTTGTTTAGTGTCTGACACTTTACCAAATCTCTCAATCATGTTAATTTTTTTTTTTATTATTCCAAGTTATAACAAGATTTGGATTTAAGGAAGGGTAAGTTATATTAGTTTCCTTGTCTTTGAAAATTCGCTATCAGGCCTGCGGTAAAATCAGTATCCTTCAGACTTTAGCTCCAGGATGACTGGAGTATATTTTCCATCTTTATTATCTACCTATTCAACTCACTGTTGTTCCTTCCTAAAATGGAAGGTTGAGCAGAGAGAAACATGTGGTAATGACTTACTAGCCTTTGAGATGAAACTTTGGACTCTATTCTGGGCAGAATAATTGATCACTTCAAACTGATTCTGTATCAAGGATACAGAAGAAGTAGCCTGAATTTTTGTATTGCTCATGGGTTTTCTACTTTCTCATCTATACTGCTTTTATGGCAGATCAAATGTCTCCTCTGTCGAACATTTATGTAAGTGGACATAGAAAGCTGTATTTATCCTGTATTTCTTTTCTGTATGAATCTCATTTGTTAAAATGCATATGTTTATCCGTTTTATAGTCCTTTTAATCAAATTTATCAGTACATTTTACAAAATAAAGAATATATTAAATGTTGCAAATTCTTGAGTCTCACCGCAATAATCTCAGGTAATGGAAGTCAGAATACGTTGACATTCCCGTTTGTGAATACCAATTTTCCAAAGCCTGACTGCCTTTCAGTGCTGATGGAGTGGAAGTGACTATATATGGCATTTGTTTTCCAGACTGTAACTCATCTCCCATACCCATTTTCAATGCAACAGCTTGTCTCAATGACTCCAGAATCCAGTCCTTTTTAGAAGCTGTTTCTCATTTCTGTAACCCTGAGGCCTCAGTCAGTTGAGCAGATAAAGACTGGATTTATGAGTGCAAGTGTATGTCAGAAAATCACCTCTAAAACAGAAGAAAAAAAAATTATCAATGAAACTACAGAGGTGTTCCTACTTATCCAGTCCACACATATAAACCTTTATATAAAATATTTGCTATTATATAAAAGTGACCTGTTTGCTTTCAATTTATAGATGACTGCGGTGTTATACAATGATCTGATTTGTAACATGAACATGACACTAGGTGATTTTATAAGTTTTTATATTCCTTAATGCAGCTCAAATATCTCATTTCAGCATCTATATTAATTTTAAAGCACTCTTAAGGCATATGGTAAATAATTAAAAGCTAATTTCTAAGTATTGTGTCCATGCCCGTCTTCTCTTCATTCCCTCATCCAACAGGAAAATGCTAAAAACACATCATACATTTACAAGATGGCTTGAAAAATACACTGATACTGGTTCTAATCACCAACCCCCTAGAAGAGGTGTAGCTGAGAAGCCTCATCCCACCAGGAAGTGCTGCAGGACATGGCAGGGGAGCTGGGTCATTGGGAAACGTGGGAGAGACTCAGGGGAGAGAGGTGGGAAGGTAATTAGGCTGAGATGATCGAAGATGTTGTTAAGAAGTTGGACCACCTATCCTGGATCACATTCCCAAAGGTTAATGCCCTGGCATGCCACAGGGGTCAGTCCCTGAAATCAAAAGCTTTGAGACCCCTGTGCTGCTCACGAGCATGCGTTCCCCCATTTTGTGTTATCAGCT